GCTGCTGGTGCTGAGGACTCGGGCGTTGGAGCTCCTACTGGTGCTGAGGACCCGGGCGTTGGAACTGCTGCTGGTGCTGAGGACTCGGGCGTTGGGGCTGCCACTGGTGTCCCTGCTGCTTCTGGAGACGCTGCGCGGCCGCGACCGTACTTCGTACCGCTCCTTCAGCAGGTTCTTGGTCAGGCTCCTCCTCCTAGTCCTCCTCCCTCCGTCGAGTGTCCTCTGCCTGTCCCACCGCAGTCACAGTTACCGCCTGCCTCGCCTCTCCCTGCTCCCTCTCCACGTACAGCCCGTGCTCACCCCACATGAACGCTCCCACCTCATTGTATACCAAACCCCTTTGCTAATCCCCAACCACATCTCTACTACCTCCACCTCCCACACCCGCCTCGGAGCATCCTTCATCCCCTTCTCATGCTCCAGAGGTCCATTCGTGAAACAGATAGCATCAATATTGTGGTTGGCCAGGCCAAAGTCGAGATGTAAAAGATGATCGGGTTGACAAGCAGCATCGTACATGCACTGAGGACCACATCGCCTAAACCAGGCACTACGTACTTTGGATTGAGCATATGACAGCCGGAGCTGAGAGGGTTGAGCATATGACAGCCGGAGCTGAGAGGGTTGAGCATATGACAGCCGGAGCTGAGGGGGTTGGGCAGGGGGGAGAGGATGTGTCACGGCTGCCGTGCACCTTGACACCTCTGTGCACATGCACAAGTGCACAAATCATCATGCCGACCTCACAGCCACACTGGCAGACTTGTTCTGAGGCGCCTCAAAACAAGATTCCGTGCACGTGCACAAGCGTACCAATCACCATGTCGACCTCACAGCCACACACGCGGATCGTCTGATGGGTGGCTTGGCCTGGAGTGGGGGAGGGAGGGGGGGAGCGGAGACTTAGCAGAGCGCAGCAGGCTAGCAAGGGCAGAGAGCAACAGAGGGCTTTCAAAGGCAGAGCGCAACAGAAGGTTCAGTGCGATTGAGTGCTTCCAAGGGCAGTGTGGACGTGGACGGCTGAAGGTGGACGGCTGAAGGTGGACGGCTGAAGGTGGACGGCTGAAGGTGGACGGCTGAAGGTGGACAGCTGCACAAGAAAAGGTGCATACCTCGATGGGATCGGCTCTGCTCTGCATGGCCGGCTGCTTCCCTCGCTCCTGCTGCTTTTTGAGCTGACAAAAAGGTCACAAAAGGAAATGACTTTAGAGTTGATTCTAAAGCTACAATGCAGACGCATACCTCGGTGGCACCGGCTCTGCACTGCCGGCTGCTTGCATCGCTCCCGCTATGGTCGGTTCTGAGGTTTGCTGCTGGGTTAGCGGCGAAGGGGGGCGAACGTTGTGGGAGAGTGGCCGCACTCCCGCAGCTGGAGAAAAGAATAGAATGGTGGGGACGTAGAGGACAGGTGAATGAGAGGGATGGAGGGTGATTTGAGGAAGGGAGGGTGAATGCAGGGGGGAGGAGGGCAATTACGTAGGGGAGAGGGTGAATGAGCGAATGAGGTTGAATGGGAGGGGGAAGGGGGGGAGGGGGAGGGGAGGGGCGAATGGCGCATAAAAAAACAATTGAGGCATCAGTGTCTTCAACCGCGAATGTAAGAAGCCATTCCTTGGCAAGCACAAAATGAACAGCCCTTAGCTTCAACCCCTATTTCTACTGAATGCCTAGATCCAACCCCTCGCCTTAAACCGAAATGTCATTGCCTTTGCGAAACCCGAATCCAACCAAAGACAGTAAATCTTACATGCTGATGACGTGGCAGCAGTGACAAGTAATGAAAATCCAGGTGGGCCCATAGCAGCAGCTGCTGATAGCCCGCCTCCGTGCAACACAATGACGTGGCAGAACCCGTAGCTGACGTGGCAGGCGAGTGGTGGTCGTCCCGTGGCTTGGCCGCATGGTCTCGATCCCTTTCGTCTGCATAGGGTCGACTGGGGAGGAAGAGAAACGATATCGCGGAGCGGGGAAGAGGAGGGTGGAGGTAAGGAGCGAAGGTGTAGGAACGGAACAACCGAAGGTGGTGGGGCATCAGAAAGCAGAGTAGGAACAAACAGCTGAAGCACTGAGGGAAGATGGCGGGTTAGTGAGTTAGCTCTGACTGCTAGCCAGCTGTAATGGCAGGCGGGAGTTCACTGGTCGAAGAACAGACGCGACGAGCGTACCGTTTGACTGAATGACGAAGAAATTTCTCTCTCAACACAGGTACGCTCTCTCTCGACGTCCGTGCTAGTTGTTTGAGGGTCAACCTCCGTGTATCCAGGGCGAACTCCCATCCTCACGATAAGCAGACCCGATTCGAGGCAAAGAACGTTAGAAACAGTAATTTGTCACGCACCCGCGATGCGTTGACAGGCGCCGCCTGACGACGGAAGCTGGCCGCGCGTCCGCCATGGAAACTGGGGAAAAAAGGTAACGGATGAAGATGGTTCACTACCTAACGCTGTAGCCGTGAGTATTTACTACGGAATGGAATGGATTCTGGATGCTGGGATCACAGGATGGAAAACAGCTGGGAAGGCGATCTCAGAATGATTTCAGAGTGCCACTAATCAAACGGGTCCTCGTTTCGAATCCAGTGCAGCATCGCGGCTAACCAGCGCTCCCTCCTTCCGGAAATTTCGGAAAATAGTGCTGCACGACTGAGCGAGCGACGGCGGCTGTTACGTCACCTGCTGGTGATTTTTGAGGCGCCTACAAGGCGTTCCCGAATTCGGTGCTGCTTTACGTCGTCAGCGTGTTGTGCTAAAGCCTTGCCAAAATACGTGCGCGCGTCCTGAATGCCGACATGAGAACAACTACATGGTACACGACGGGTCTACGAACGGCACGTCTAATGCCTGCCCAGAGTCCTGACCTAATTGGCGATTCGTCAGTAAGCCTGGAACAAACCTGCAGATTCGCATCGATTGACATGGCTAGTTTGCGGAGTGACTGATTCATCAGCTCCTAAATTGCAATACCCGTACTAAGTAATGTGAATGTATGACAGTTGTGATTTATGTGTAACAGTTGCGTTTGACGATTTGATATGAACACCGTGTCACGCTGTTACTCGCGGGGAAGACGAAAGAAATGGAATCACAAGTTTCGCAAGAAGATCAACCGGCGACTCCTCGACAGCCCTGTCGCAGCCTGGGTTCGCATCGCATCGCGCCCACGAAACACCTGCAGCTACGGAATATGAATCGTCACAACGGGAGTGCCTTTGATGGGGGCGTATACAGAACAGACAAAGCCGCGTGAATGGTATTGGGAATGGAGAGAACACGTGTCACACTTCACAAACAAAGATTTTCGGAGGTAGGTGTTGAACTCGCCCGCAGCTAACACTCGAGAAACATGATGGGCTCTGCAAAAATACCACTCTCGAAAATTACGATTTGGAATTGGAGCAAATTATGAACACGCCCTGTTGGATTTACATCCCACCCCTTCTGGATTCTAGGTCCACGTTCGAGATGTGCTGCCATGCCTCACTCCCTTCTGGCACTGGATTAGGGTTTCCTCTTAGCTCCGCCGTCCCGATGTTGTCCCTTCCGCTGCTGTGCCATCCAGGCTGCTGCAGTGCATGGACCTCTGTTTTTAGCACTTCACTACCGACCCGACTCTCCAACTTCTCAGTCATTGGCGTTTTCTCTTCTCCTTTCCGTCCCTCCCCCATCGCTTCAGTGTCTCCTCACGCAGACCTCTAGAAACCCTGGTTTTCCTCGTTGCAAGCACAGTGGTCCAGCACGTCAGCACGTGAGCAGGATTCGCATAAGAACGATGATCGTTTGCTCACATTCCACAATCAATCCTTTTTCTGCCTCACACAGCCCTTCCGGCGCTAGGCACTGGCCAGAAACCCAGTCTAAAGAGCTAATTCATCGATCTTAGTCCTCACTAAAGTCGAAACTTTGATACACCTCTGCCTTCTCGTCCCAATCACTACCATCGCGGCTTCCTGACATTCGATTCACTCGTTCGTTGACTCAATCAGTCGGTATTATCAATGGCTTGTCCTCGCATACTCTCCCTGCTCGCCGCGGCGTTCGCGGCGGCTCTGATGCTGCTAGCGGTGCCAGCGGAGAGTAAGAGGGCGCCGCCGGTGAGAAGGGCAGTGCAAAAAGGAGTGCCTCAGTGGGAGCTCCTCGCAGCGCTCAAGGACCTTGATAAGAAATACGCGTTCTTTTCCATTTTCGCACAGCGATTCTACACTGCAGGTAAGAATTGACAAATCATTTTTATTTCTTCTCTGTAGACTGTGTGCATGACTGTTTTCAATCTAATCGTGTCCTAAAAACTCCCTTTTTCCATTTTGTTGCAGCTAAATTCAAGCTAATTACACTTGACGGCCCTGTGACCATCCTCATCCCCTCCAATATTGGCAACCAATTCATGAAGAAAAAGTGGGATTCTTACACTCCGCAGCAGCGCCTACGCATCTTGAAGAATCTGATTATTAAGGGGAAATTCAGCAAGGACAGGCTTCTGTCAACTGTTCCGTTATGGCAATTCCGCACCATGAACATGGACTTAAAGCTGGTTAAGATGAATAAGATCAGCCAGCGGGAATGCTACTTCAAGGCCCTAGGAGGGAAGTCGTTTGGACCCCTGAACATGGCCAATATGAGCCTGACGAAAAACATTCAGGTTCATGGCGTTTCTACCGTTCCCATCCCCCCGAATGCATGACATCAGATGATCAGAGTCTGCTTTGCTCCTACTTTTGTACCATAATGTATTGAATGTAGTAATTGTGTTTATAACATGTTAGTGTACTGTGTGGCATCAGTTACAAGGAAAGCCTTGCGAGGGATGCATGGGACAGTCAGGTCAGTCAGAGATGTTGCACGAGGCAAATCGGCCAGGCCCACTGAAGACGGGATCTGTAAGAATGCTGCTAAGGTTGTTGGAATGCGATACCGGAGCAAGTGAGTTCCCAAACGCGGAGTCGCAGGGCTTGAGGTGTCCCGTAGCGCCCTGAGGCCTGCATTGAATCTACGGTAAAAGTGCTGCTAAGGTTGTTGGAACGGAATGACAGGAACGAGGGAATTCCCAAACATGGAGTCATACGGCTTGAAGTGGCCTGTCGCCCCCATCTGCCTTGCTCGCTGCACCGCTGCCCGCTTTGCCGCCAGCATTCTCTGCACCTCCTCCTGGTGCCGCTGCTGTGCTTGGTGGGATTGATGGGACTGGTGGGGCTGGTGGGGTTGCTGGGGTTGCTGAGACGCTGCAGCTGATGCAGGTGGCAGTGGTGCCAGAGGGGACTGTGTGGAGACGGAATGGGGCCTGAGAGGAGGTTGGGGGAGAGACGCGAAATGGGGAGTGTGAAGGGTGGGTGGATGTGGACATGAAAAGGAAGGCTCTGGGCATCAAATATCTTAAGTAAAAAGGACGGCTCAAAGGAAGGCTTTGAGTAAAAATCATGTGGGCAAGAGCGGGCGAAGTGCGCAGGTGATTGGGTTGACGCAGACGGGAGACTGAGAGAAGCCGAGTGCAGATTTAAGAAAACATGGTGAGGAAACGGAGATGCATAAATGCAGAGCGCGTACACAGTTTCATACCGCGAAGAAGCAGAAGATTTAGTGCAGCTGGGTGCTTCCAAACGCAGAGTTTCAACTGAAGATGGGCGTACAATTAAAACACAAGAGAAGATGCTTACCTCGGAGGCACCGGCTCCGCACTGCCGGCTGCTTGAATCGCTTTTCATAATAACTTTCTACGAACAGCAAAGATTTTCGATCACAAACAAAGAGGCATACCTTGGCAGCACCGGCTCTGCACTGCCGGTTGCTTGCATGGCTCCTGCTGCGGTCGGTTCAGAGGTTTGCTGGGTTAGCGGCGAAGGGGGGCGAACGTTGGGGGAGGATGGGCGCACTCCAGCAGCTGGTGATGAGAATGGAATGGCGTTGGATGTAAGGAGGGGTGAATGCGAGGGAGGAAGGGTAAATGTGAGAAAGGGAGGGTGAATGTGAGGAAGGGAGGGTGAATGTGAGGAAGGGAGGGTGAATGTGAGGAAGGGAGGGTGACTGCGAGGGAGGGTGAATGTGAGGAAGGGAGGGTAAATGCAGGGAAAAGGAGGGTGACAGCGAGAGGAAGAGGGTGGATGAGCGAGAGAGCGAGGTTGAATCGATGTGGGAGGGGAGAGAGGAGGGCTGGGAAGAGGGGGGAAGGAGTGAATGGGATATTGAAACCAATTGCGACCTCAATGTATTTGATCGGGAACCGATCAAGGAATAGCGAGGAAACGAGCCCAGGAAAGAGTGTGGTCAGGCACAAAAGCCATGAAACCTATACCGCGACTGACTTTTGAGTCGACTCAAAAGTCAGAGGAAACGAGCCCAGGAAGGTGTGTGTGTCAGGCACAAAAGCCATGAAACCTAAACTGCGACTGCAAGTAAAGGCACCTTGGCTTCAACCCTTGAATCTAAGTCTTGGCCCAAAACATGTCTTTGCAAAACCTAGACTCCAAGATGGCCGTTATTCTTACACGCAGATGACGTGGCAGCGGTGGCAGGGAACGAAAATCCAGGCGGACCCACAGCAGCAGCTGATAGCCCGCCTCCATTTCCTCCCAGTGACGTGGCAGCAGAACCCGCAGCTGACGTGGCAGGCGTGTGGTGGTGGTCCCGTGGCTTGGCCGTGTGGTCTCGGTCCTTGTCGTCTGCATAGGGTCGACTGGAGGTGGGCGAGCAGAGACGACAGAGGTCAGGTGTATGGGGAGAAGGGTGGAGGTAAGGAGCGGAGAGAAGGGTGGAGGTAAGGAGCGGAAAAAAAGGGTGAAGGTAAGGAGCGAGAGGAGCTGAGGAGTGGTGAGGCAGCGCGTAGGAACGAAAGACTGAAGCACTGAGGGAAGGTGACGGCGACTACTGAGATAACGGCGACAGAGAGTTCATTCTGACTGCTAGCCGACTGTAATAGCAGGAGGGAACACAGGGTCAAAGAGCAGATGCGACGTGCACACCGATTTGACTGAACAACGCAAAAGTTTCTCTCTCTAAACTTTTGAAATTTCTCAATAGCTCCTCCCTTGACACTTTTGAGGTGACTTTTGAGTCGACTCAAAAGGTGTCTTTCCAATAGTTCCTCCCTCTCCCTCACCTCCAGTACGCGGCTCACTCAACGTGCGTGTTACGAATAGCCGCTGGCGGGTTAACCTCCGCGCACCCAAGGTGAACTCCCATCCTCACGATAAGCCGATCCGATTTGAGACAAAGAGCGTTAAAAGTAGCCGTTTATCACGTACCCGCGATGCGCCGACCGGCGCCGCCTGACGTCGGAAGCTGGCCGCGCGTCGGCCATGGAATCTCGGAAAATATGTAACCGCTGGAAAAGGTTCAAAGACACCTATCGCTGTAGCCGTGGGTATTTTCGACGGCAGGGATTGGTTTCTAGATGCTGGGATCACGGGATGTTTTTTCCAGGGATTTTTCCAGAATTGTCAAAGAATCCCAAAATGGTTTTCCAGCTAAAAGGCGAGGATGGAGACAACTGGAAGGGGAATTCAGAATGCCACTAATCAAACGGGTCCTCGTCTCGAATCCCGTGCAGCATGACGCGCAATCCAGCGGCGCTCCTCCTTCCGGAAGTTTCGGAAACCTGTGCAGCACGAGTGAGCGAGGGACGGCGGCTGTTACGTCACCAGCAGGTGATTTTTGAGGCGCCTACAGGTCGTTAACGAGTTCTTCTATGTTGTGCTGCTTTTCGTCGTCAGCAGTGCGAAAGGCTTGGAAAAATATTCGCGCGTGTTCTGAATGCCGACCTGAGAACAGCAACTATATGCGACGCGACGGGTCCTAAGTCCTGACCTAATTGGCGATTCGTCAGTAAACCTAGAGCAAACTTGCGGATTTCATGTTCAATAACATTGCTAGTTCCCGAGTAGCGATTGCATCACTAGTTTTCCCGCTAGCGAAATTGGTGTTGAGGTCCAGGCGAACGTCGCTCATGGTTACGGATATGTTTGGGATAGTTATGGTGAACACATAAGTATTGAAACTTACATTATTCGATACAGTTAACGCAAGAATGATGACAAGCTTTTGATTATTTGGCAATGAGCAACCTAGCGTCAAAATGAATGCTCCGTAGAGTTTGAGAGGGCATGCTATGCTGGCAATCTGCCATCATGCAAGTCAGCTTCAGGTGGAGGTTTTCTAGGCACAACTGTTGCCCATGTACTGCCTCTGAGTCGCAAACAGAAGGCTGAAATTCGTTTTTGCTCATATAAGCACCGGCATTGGATGTGGGGGAGTGCCATGTGGTTGTGGCTCCTCTATTGCTGATGTACGTGCAGCTCCAAATGAAGTTGTGATGCAGAAAAAGCCCCATGGTTATGTAGAATACTGCACGATCCATGGATGACCTGTCATGCCATGCCATGCCATGCCACGCCATACCATACGGTACCATCCCATGCCAAGCCATCCCATACATAAGAGACAGATGGAAGTTGAGGTTGACGGTGGGTGATGAGACTTAGATGTGATTACACGCTTTGCTAAAATCGTCATCTGAGGTGATTAAGGATGTGATATTTGAAAAAACGTTTCAGGGCACGAGTGTGAGGTGATGTAAGGGGGGAGCGTGGGAGAGGGGTGGGAGGGGAGAGCAAGAGTGACAAGGCACTGGTCCTACTTACGCAAGTAACAACCCACATGGCAAACACGCACCAGCACCACCAACCACTTTTGAGACGTCTCAAAAGCCAGTACCACCATCCACTTGCCAAGCCAATAAATGCACCCCAAAATCCAAGCGAATCGGCCCAACCCATTGAACTCACCGAGCAACATCCACTTACCAGGCCACTCAACACACTCCAAAGAACCAAGCCAATCAACGCATCTCAAAACCCAAGCCAATCAGCTCATCCCAAAGCCAAGCCAAACACACCCCGAAACTCAAGCGAATCGACCCAGCCCATTGAACTCACCAAGCAACGCGCTGAGATCCGCTTGCGGGGGTCCTTAACGAGTATCCTCCTTATAAGCTTTTGAGGCGCCTCAAAAGTCAACCCATTGAACTCACCGAGCAGTTCGAGCGCTGAGATCCTCTTGCGGGGGTCCTTAACGAGTATCCTCTTTATAAGCTCCTTGGCGTCCTCGCTCACAGTGCGCCACTTGGCCGATTTGAATTGCACCTCCTTGCGCCGGATCGCATTGAATCACCAGCACAGCACCACCACACCACCCACTCATCGAGCCATTCAACCGAATCCCCAAGCCAGTCAACTCAACTCAGCCTACCCACCCACCCAGACCCACCCAGACCCACCCAGACCCACCCAGACCCACCCAGTCACCCAGCACCTTCACTCACCGAGCAGCTCCAGTGCCGAGATCCGCTTGCGGGGGTCCTTAACGAGTATCCTCCTTATAAGCTCCTTCGCGTCCTCGCTCACAGTGCGCCACTTGGCCGACTTGAACTGCACCTCCTTGCGCCGGATCGCGTCGAATATGCCCTCGTTGCTCGGCGCCCAGAAGGGCGGGAAGCCGCACAGCATGATGTAAAGGACGACCCCCGCTGACCAGATGTCTGATTCGGGGCCGTACGAGCCAGTGAGGACCTCCGGCGCCATGTAGTAGGGCGTGCCGACAAACTCAGTAAGCGGCTCGCCTGTAGAGGAGGGGAGAGGAGAGGGCAGAATGGGAGTGTGGGAAGAGGGAGAAACACATCCATAGGGACTGGTGAGAACCTCTGGCGCCATGTAGTAGGGCGTGCCGACAAACTCAGTGAGGGGCTGGCCTGTAAGGGGGAGGAGAGGGGGCAGGAAGGGTAGTGGTTCGGTTCGGGGCAGGGCAGGACGAGGCAAGAGAGCGGCCAGTGGGGACCTCCGGCGCCATGTAGTAGGGCGTGCCGACAAACTCAGTGAGGGGTTTCCCTGTAAGGGGAGGGAGGGAGGGGAGGGAGGATAGGGAGGAGAGGGTAAGGGGAAGGAGGGATGGGAGGGAGGATAGGGAGGACAGGGTAAGGGGAGGGAGGGATGGGAGGGAGGGACAGGATAGGGAGCATTTCGGGCTTCACATTGCGGTGCGGGCATACAATGACACACCAAGCTATTCCATTCCAACCCACCCATGTTTATGCCATGCCGTGTCTGAATCGTGTAGCGACGCCAAATTCAATCGCTTTGATTTTCGTATCATCGCTCTTGTGCATAGCAGAGAATGTTCTCGGGCTTCACATCGCGGTGAGCAATGCCGTTGGAGTGGCAGTAGAGCAGCGCCTCCACCAGCGTCTGGCACACCAGGGCAACACTGTGATGCCACGCCCTCCCATTCCAGCCCACCAATGCTCATACCGTGCATGGCATACCGTGACTGAATCGCGTGGCCATGCCGTGAGTGGGATGATCTCTACTTCCCCGTCTTACCGTGTCTGAATCGCGTGGCGACGCCAAAGTCAATCACTTCAATATTTTGTGTCGTCGTCCCTGTGCATGAGCAGAATGTTCTCCGGCTTCACATCGCGGTGTGCGATGCCGTTGGAGTGGCAGTAGAGCAGCGCCTCCACCAGCGTCTGGCACACGAGCCCCCACAATGCGATGCCAATCCAACCCATGTCATTCCATCGTATACCATTTCAACCAGCTAATGTCCACCGCATACCGTGTCTGAATCGCGTGGCGACGCCAAAGTCGATCACTTTAATGTTAGTATCATCGTCCTTGTGCATTAAAAGAATGTTCTCCGGCTTCACGTCGCGATGCGCGATGCCGTTGGAGTGGCAGTACAGCAGCGCTTCTACAAGCGTCTGACAGACCAGCGCTGCGCTGCGCTCGCTGTACTGCCCCCTCAGCTTGATGCGATCAAACAGCTCCCCGCCCTTGCAGATCTCCATCACCAGATGCACGTGCTGCCAAGGGGAGAGAGAGGGAGAAAGAAGCAAGTGGGGCAAGGGAGGGATGGGGGGAGTGAAGGAGAGTGGGGTTACAAAACACACACGCACACACACACAGCGCTGCGCTCGCTGTACTGCCCCCTCAGCTTGATGCGGTCAAACAGCTCTCCGCCCTTGCAGATCTCCATCACCAGATGCACGTGCTGAGAAGGGGAGAGAGAGGGAGAAAGAAGCAAGTGGGGCAAGGGAGGGATGAGGGGAGTGAAGGAGAGTGGGGTTTCGAAACACACACACACACACACACACACACACACACACACACACACACACACGAGCGCCGCGCTGCGCTCGCTGTACTGCCCCCGCAGCTTGATGCGATCGAAGAGCTCCCCTCCCTTGCAGATCTCCATCACCAGATGCACGTGCTGGGGGGTGGAGAGGGGTGACGAGGGGTGGGGAGAGGTGGAGAGTGGGATGTGGGAGCACACACACACACAGCGCTGCGCTCGCTGTACTGTCCCCTCAGCTTGATGCGATCGAACAGCTCCCCTCCCTTGCAGATCTCCATCACCAGATGCACGTGCTGGTGGGGGGGGGGAGGAGGGGATGGGAGGTTGGCAAGGGAAGGTGGAGAGAGGTGGAGAGGGATGGAGACAGGCGGAAAGAGAGCACTAAAAGAGCATGGAAGCTTCCTGCCCTTGCAGGTCTCCATCACCAAGTGCACTGGCTTGGGGGAGGGGGGGGAGGGGGATTGGGGGAAGGTGGAGAGAAGTGAAGAGGGGTGGAGAGGGGTGGAGAAAGGGCTATAAAGTGGCAGCCAAGCTCTTCGCCCTTGCAGATTTCCATCACCAGGTGCACTGGCTGGGGGGAGGGGGGGGGGGGGAGCGGGTAGGCATGAGCAATGAGGCGAGAATCAGCTTGTATCGATTTCTTATTACTAGGGTTGACGTTCTTGCCGGAACTACTTGACTTTACCTGTTTTACAAGCAAGTAATCTCATACTTGCGAGGAATAAAATATTCGCACACATTGGGGAGGGGAGGGGATGCGGCAACGGGGAAGGGGGAGAAAGGGAAGGGTTGAGGTGGGCGGGGGAAGTGGGAAGGGGGAGGAAAGAGGGATTGGAGAGGGTGGAGGGACTAGTTGGGGGAAGTGGGAAGGGCGGATTGTTGGAAAGAGAGGGAGAAGGAAGCAGGGTTTGGCACACTAGTGACTTTTGAGTCGACTCAATACTCGCCAAGCGTACCATGGCTTGGCACGCTAGTGCTGCACTGGGTTGATTGTGCTGACCTTTGCTAATCCCTTGTCTTGCCTCGTCCTTTGTTACATTTTTTAGTCGACTCTAAAGTCAACGTGCTGCACTGCACGGGGTTGATTGTGCTGCTGACCCTCGCTCGCTCATCCCTTGACCTGTCTCGTTCTTTGTTACATGTACCCCTCCACCATTGGTGTGTCGTGTGCTCCTTTACGAATCTGTATGAACAGACCGACCCAAGCCCACCTCTTTAACTAATCCCCTTCCCAGCTTGCAGGAAACCACACTCACCTTGCTGACCACAAATGTCTCATAGAGGCCGCTGATGATGGAGTGGGTTGAAGTGGGGTGGAGAGGGATGGAGTGGGTTGAAGTGGGGTGGAGTGGGGTGGAGTGGGTTGAAGTGGGGTGGAGTGGGGTGGAGAGGGATGGAGTGGGTTGGAGTGGGGTGGGGTGGGGTGTGGTTCCTCTACTACTCACCGTCGTCAATGATGTTGGGGTGGGGTGGTGTGGGGTGGTGTCGGGTGGTGTGAGGTATCTCACCTTACCTTTCATTTCCCACCACGCCCAAGCCTCAAAGGTCTCACCTTGCTGTCTTCAAACGTCTCACAGAGGTCGATGACGTTGGGGTCGGGTGGGGTGAAGTGAGGTAGATCGGGGTTCCTTTACTTTCAGCTCAACCCATACCACACCAACTCGCCTCACCTTACTGTCCTCAAACGTCTCATAGAGGTCGATGATGTTTGGGTGGCCCCTCAGCTGCTGTCCTTACACGACCCTCACCAACCCGTTCACCTCATCGCACACCACACACACGCCCTAACCACCCTCATCGCACCTTACTGTCCTCAAACGTCTCATAGAGATCGATGATATTGGGGTGGCCCCTCAGCTGCTGCCCTCACACGGCCGTCACCAACCCACCAATCCCCCCTTCGCCTCCTACCACACCACACCCTCGCCCCACCTTGCACCCATTAAACTCCTCACCTTGCTGTCTTCAAACGTCTCATAGAGGTCGATAATGTTGGGGTGCCCCCTCAGTTGCTGCATCAGCTGCACCTCCTTGCGCACATCCTCCGCATCCTCTGGGCACTGCAGTGAGAGGGTGGGGATGGGTGGGGTGGGACGGGGAGGGGTGTGGTGTGGTGGGGCGAGGGGTGGGGCTTAAGCTGCTGCATCAGCTGCAGCTCCTTGCGCACGTCCTCTGCATCCTCGGGACACTGGAGTGGTAGGGAGGGGTGCGATGCGGTGGAGTGGGGTCAGGGTCAGGTGGAATGCGGTGGGGTGGGGTGGGGTGGGGTGGGGTGGGGTGGGTGGGTTCCATATGGTGTCATGTGAACGAGCCATCGGGACACTACATGAGCTGGACGACGTGGATGGATGGACCTCCCTCACAGCAGGTGCACCAATGAAAAACCACATTTGGGACCCCACCCCATGCCATCCCCGTGCCATCATGGGTATGACTGGCACCATGGCGTAAACAGCCAAAGATGGTGGCTGTAAGTAACAGCATGATCCATGAGAGGAACACAATATCATGGCAGTCAGTCAGTCAGTCCCACGTCCATCAATGCCCATGCCTGCTGCATCACTATCTCTCAAACATGGTTGCTGGTATGAGTACTTCCTTACGTCATGATCACAGTAAGCCAATCAGCTCATCACAGTGCAAACGCTTCAAAGGTGGTTCCTCCTTTTGTGGTTGTCAAACATGCCAGCCATGCATCACAAAACGCCCTGGTGTTTGACGCTTCGAAGGTGGTTCCTTGCTTCACTTCACACGCTGGATTTAAAACGCCCTGGCCTGGCCCCTGTTCCCATGCGCGCTCCAAGCCACGCCCCTTTCTGCTCCGATCCTTTCTGCACAGTCCATCTTACGCCCTCATTCCCACTCTCCCATTCTCACGTCCGTTAGCGCGCTCAGCTCCGCCGCTCGCCCCTCCCTATCAATAGCCTCACGCCACGCTTGCAACCCCCAAATGCACCACTCACATGTACGAGCCACAGAGAATCCACTCACACCTCTCCACATGGAGAGGTGTGAGTGTCATACATGTGGCTCCCATACTTTATGTCCAGCCCCCATGTCAATGCGCCTCATCCAGCCTCATCCAGGCCCACTAAGCCCCACCCATTCCCACCCAGTCCCACCCTTACCCCACCCAGCCTCAACCAGCCTCCCCTATCCCCACCCAGCTTCACCGGACCTCACCTATCCCCAGCCAGTACCACGCCCAGACGGTTCTTATTTTGCAACGCTCAGGCATTTCATAAAATCACTGATTTCTGTGGTTTATTCATTCCAACAACAAATAACATGCTTGAGTTCAGCCCAAGGGCCTTCGCTCTCCACCCTCCAACCCTCCCACTCACTCACCACAATGCGCTCCTTGCTGATCGTTTGAGACACCAGCAGCAGACCCACAACCTCAGGCACAAGCACAAGCTCATTGAGCGGGGGAGCGCTGGGTGTATCCAGCCCACAACCTCAGACACAACCACAAGCGCCAGTATCTAGCCCAGCCATCCCATCTTATCTCATCCCAACCCATCCCACCGTACCCACCCTACCCTCCCACTCACCACGATTCGCTCCTTGCTGAACCGCCCCGCGCCCAGCTCCTCCTCCTGCACGTCGAACACCTCGGTCACACCACCTGACTGACTCCCTACCTCCCTCCCTTCCTCCCCTACGAGCAAGCAGGCACTCACTCACCACAATGCGTTCTTTGCTGATGGTTTTGCACGCCAAGAGTGCGCCAGTCATGCGGTTCAATTCACACATGACCGAATCACGCCGAACTGTCCCACGCCCAGCTCCTCCTCCTGCACGTCAAACACCTCGGTCACACCACCTGACTTATCCCTCCCTGCCCTCCCTCCTTGCCTTCCCCCCCTACGAGCAAGCAGGCACTCACTCACCACAATGCGCTCCTTGCTGATGGTTTTGCACGCCAGCAGCGCCCCAGTCATGCGGTTCACACACGATCTGATCACCCCGAACTGCCCCACCCCCAGCTCCTCCTCTTGCACGTCGAACACCTCGGTGACATCCCCACAATCTCTCATCTCCCTCACCTCCCCAGCAAGTCCACACAAGCACTCACCACAATCCTCTCCTTGCTGATCGTCTTGCATGCCAGGAGGGCCCCGGTAACCCTGTTAACACACGACCGAATGACTCCGAACTGTCCCACGCCCAGCTCCTCCTCCTGCACGTCAAACACCTCGGTCACATCGCGGTATGGCTTGCGCAGGATGAAGTCTGTGTGCCGCAGACTGCCCCCGTCCACCCACGACGAAATGCGCCGGTGCGCGCCCTTCTGTAGCGCCGCTACAGGACCTGCTACAGCTACAGCCGGCGGCGCTGCTGCTGCTACAGCCGGTGGCGCTACAGTCACCTGTGCTACGGTGACTGGCGCTACAGACAACGGCGCTATAGACCCCGCTGGTCCCCCGCCCGCCCCACCCCCCACACCCCCTCTCACAACACTACCCTCCCTTCTCAGCCCGGACCTTTCTTTCACGGATCCTATCCCCGCCACCGCCCGCACTCCTCTCCCCACCCCCCCTGCTCCGCTTCCCCCGGCCCCATCTCCCCCCATCCCCCCTCCGCCCCCCTTCCCCGCGGGGGGTCCTACCGCCACCAGTTTGACCTCCCTGCCTTCATCCCCGCTATCATCTGCCCCGATTTCCACTCTTAGCTGCAGCTTCTTCAGCCCTATAGCGGATTTCCGCGGGGACCCTGCGCCCCCAGACTCCCCCCTGGGGGAACCCGCCACGCTCCCCCGCTCGCTTCCCCTCTCGCTCCCCCGCTCGCTCCCCCCGTCTCCCCCAATCCCCAGCCGCTTTCTGTGGGCGGAGATCGCGGCGCTGACGGCGCTCGCGCCGCCGATCGCGCCGCCACCCGGCGCGTCGCGCCCCGTAGCCGCGGACACGTCAGACAGCGCGACGGATTCCGTCGGCGAGCTGCGCTCCGTCCCCTCCCCGTCATCCTCCTGAACGGGAGACGCGATCCCCCTCATCGCCGCGCGTCCCGCGCCCATCCCTCCCCCCTCCGCATCCCCGTAACCCTGATCCCTCCCCGCCGCTGCCCCCGCGCCGCCCGCGAGCCGCCCCTTCGTGAGCGGCATGGCGGCGGAATAGATGTTATGATCCACGCTCCCGATGCGCCGATGCCGCCCCTTTCCGCCGCCCGCGCCCGCTCCGCCGCCCTTCTCCATGTGGCGGAGCACCTGCCGCTGCCCCACCTCCGGCGCTCTCAGGCGGTCCATGCGGCTCCCCTCGATCTCCTTCCCCGCGGATGACGCGGAAGGGGGAAACGCGGCGGGCGGCCTCCGCGCGCCCGGCTCTTCCGCGTCGCTTCCCGCCCTTCCCGCGGCGGCGGAAGCTCCGCCCTTTCCGCCGGCTCCGCCGAAGTCGGAGTCCCCCCCGCCGCTGCTGCTATGCTCCGCGGAAGACCGTCTGCTGCGCGGCCTTTCTTTTTCCGCGTGGCTGTGCGCCGCAGTCCCCCCCGCTGCGCGGCTCTTTCCCTTCTTGCTTTTCACCTTGTCGTGCGCCAATGGCGCTTTGACACGTGGCACGGATACCTCGCTCAAGTCGTCGTCGCAGTCTTGTTCCGAATCCGTCTCCGCCTCCGCCATAGCGGGTACAACGGGCTTTAAGATGGGCTCTATTATCGGGTTTTCTACCAGCTGAAACCCGCAATTCGGGCAGAACTGATACCGCGGCTTGCAGTACGCAACTCCGCCGGCAGCCGCCGCCAAAGCCGCCGCCGCCGCCGCTAACTCCGCGCTCCCCGGCGGAAACTGCGCCGCGTTCGCCGCTGGCTTCGAAAGGAACCGCGGCTTGTCCGCATCTGACGGTATGGAGTCCGGCGTGTTGACCAGCGGCAATCGCGGGTCGACGACGCTACTAATGCTGCTGTTGCTGCAGTTGTTAAACCCGTTTCGCATCGACTCCAGCGTAGGCTGTCTCGCCGCGCCGCCCATTGCGCCGCTTCTGCTTCGCCCCCCGCCGCCGCTCGTGCTGTTCCCCGTCCCCGTAGGGACCGCCCCGTACCCGCCGCTTAAACCGGTAAGACTAAGACCGGCCATCGCTGTCCGCGCCTCGACGGCGACGTTATCGGAGGATTTTCGCCGGCGGCGCCCCTCGTGGCTCGAGTGGCTGCTGGAGCCGCGTTCGTCCGACATGTGCCCGGGCGACTCCGCGTGGTTGGCGACACTTTGCGGCGAAGCGCTGCGAACGGGTAACCCTGCATGCTTGCTGCTTCCGCGCTCAATCGCGCTTCCCCCGATTCCGCCTCCCCCGCTTCCGCCTCCCCCGACCATGTGAAACTCCTGCAGGCGCAGCTCGAGCGGACTGACGGACGCGACCGTTGCGCGCCGGCGGCTTCCGCTCTTGTGCGGGGGCAGCCCCGAAGGCTGCTCCGAGTGGTACTGCATCTTAAAGCCCTCGGACTAGGCAGTTTCAACTGTGGGACACTTGATACGGGTTTTCTAGGTTATTGGCTGCAATGCGGTGCTACTAGTGACCTCCAAACCATCTGTGGGATAGTTTAGGCAGTTTTGGGACAGAAAGCAACGGGTGATTACTCTATAGAAATGTCCGAGTTGATTTAACTTAGATTGTTCTTGAAGAGGAATTGCTGTAGGTGCGGGCATGACTTCCGGAGGAACGAGCAGCGGCGATCACCATATCCGCGAGAGCGAAAGCTCGGAACGCAATACGAGAAAATGTATATTGTCACTCGGGGTCGATGTAGCTAACTCTGCAAGCTATTCACGGAGTACATAAGCTTTCACTACCCTCGAGGACGACAGCTTTTGAAATAAATATATTCAGAGTATATGAAGGTCCACAACTACTGTGTAAACGCCGAGGAACTTGGAATTAGGTTGCGGGAAAGCCAAGCACTGTTGAGTTCTGTCAGACGGACAGAGGCAACTAGCGAGCCAGCAAAGACGGTGAGCTGACAAGCTGGCACTGCTGCACGAACAAGCGTCGAACACGGACGGTCAATCGGAGTTTGAAACCGCCATGGCTGAAGTCTCCTCCAGGCTCCAGCATTGCCTGTTTACGTGGTACGTGCACTGTACAGATGGAGTAGCGAGCCGTACCGTACGTACGTGAAGGGTTCTCTTGGTTGAGTTGCGTTGCGTATTGTACCGCACAGAGAGACAGCGCAAAAAAGGTGGCGGCGGTGGTGGTAGTTGTCGTTTCTGAAACCCAAGAGCCAGCCAGCCACTCTGAGGTTTGGACCTCAGGTTTGCCAGTAATTGTGAGGTTCGAATGTCGCGATCATGGTAACTTGAATATTGCGAAACTCGCTAAAACTCGCATATTGCGAATGGGAGGAGAGGAGGAAACGGCGGTGTTCTGGTCTTGCACGGCGAGTTTCATGAACGAAACACGTAGATGTACGTACGTACACCGCTTCTAACTTACGAAACTCGTGGTGGAATTCGGCGGTGTGTGGTGAAAGAATTGGCCCAGCTTTCCATCGGAATCACCTGGCTGGTTTGGTTGGGAGCCTGGCAGCCATGAGTGGAAAGCTGTGGGCCTCGTGGGCACGGACCACTGCCCACAGGCACGAAAGCCAGCCAAAAACGTGCACCGCACAGGCGCAAGCTGAGACTCGTTTGTAATTCCCTCGCTTACGAATACAGCTACTTCAGCAACAAAAGTTTTGTAAATTTTAGAGTACTAGGAATCATACAATCTAAATCTAAAATGACTGCAATGGGCATTGCTCAAGTACGAAGAAACCGTAAAAAGAAAGTGTCCCCATCATATGAAAAAGGTTTGGGGTGTGATGAAGATACTATGTGCATGTGTGAAATACAAGTGGTACTACCGTACTTGGTGTTGTTGAACTTTGTTGATAAGGTGCTTTTCTAGCCCCGACAAGATTCCATCCCTTCTTCGCTCTTATTCCTTTTAGTGGATAAACAACATGGAACCAACTTATTAGTTGGATTGAAACTCCAACAACCACTGGGTGTGCTGCCATCCTCCCTCCTAGTCAATACCAAAGCACAATAGATAGCAGTACTAGGTATTGCCTTTGTTCTTGTAAAAACCATACAGCATCTACATTATACAGACGTTGTAACCAGCAACAAATAAAACCCCAAATCAAACCCCAACAGTCTTAGGCTGCAGCTGCTGCCTGCTTGTTGCGCTGCACTCGCCTAACCACCTCATCCATAGCAATATCAAAGGCGTCTCGCTTGTGTTCCATGGGGTACATGCGTGGGTGGTTGTACACCACTGCTGGCATCACCTCCCTTATGATCTTCAACCTCATTCGCCGCACCTAGAGAGAGCAAAAGGGAGAGTAATGGGAGGGTAAAGGGGGAGGGTAAGGGAGGGAGAGAGGGCGATGTGAAGGCGTGGCACATCACCTGCATCACATCTTCAAAGGCGTCTCGCCTGTGATGCATGGGGTACGCACTATGGTGGTGATGAACGACTGATGGCATGGCAGTTGTTGCGATGCAGATTTGCCACGGGTCAGTACATGCTCGTCAATTTACACAAGCAACAGTGCTAGCATATGCACAACGGTAGCATGCACAACAGCGACATGCGTAACAGCGACATGCGTAACAGCGACATGCGTAACAGTGACATGCGTAACAGTGACATGCGTAACAGTGACATGCGTAACAGTGACATGCGTATCAGTGACATGCGTAACAGTGACATGCGTAACAGCGACATGCGTAACAGTGACATGCGTAACAGTGACATGCGTATCAGTGACATGCGTATCAGTGACATGCGTATCAGTGACATGCGTATCAGTGACATGCGTATCAATGACATGCGTAGACATGCGTATCAGTGACATGCGTATCAATGACATGCGTAGACATGCGTAACAGTGACATGCGTAACAGTGACATGCGTATCGGTGACATGCGTATCAATGACATGCGTAGACATGCGTAACAGTGACATGCGTAACCGCGACATGCGTAACAGCGACATGCGTAACAGTGACATGCGTAACAGTGACATGCGTATCAGTGACATGCGTAACAGCGACATGCGTAACAGTGACATGCGTAACAGTGACATGCGTAACAGAGACATGCGTAACAGTGACATGCGTAACAGCAACATGCGTAACAGTGACATGCGTAACAGTGACATGCGTATCAGTGACATGCGTATCAGTGACATGCGTATCAGTGACATGCGTATCAATGACATGCGTAGACATGCGTATCAGTGAAATGCGTATCAATGACATGCGAAGACATGCGTAACAGTGACATGCGTAACAGTGACATGCGTATCAGTGACATGCGTATCAATGACATGCGTAGACATGCGTAACAGTGACATGCGTACCAGTGACATGCGTATCAGTGACATGCGTAACAGTGACATGCGTAACAGTGACATGCGTATCAGTGACATGCGTAACAGTGACATGCGTAACAGTGACATGCGTAACAGTGACATGCATAACAGTGACATGCGTAACAGTGACATGCGTAACAGTGACATGCGTAACAGTGACATGCGTAACAGTGACATGCATAACAGTGACATGCATAACAGCTACAAAGAAGAAGCCACAAATGCGCTGTAGAAATGTAGACATGGGGCAATCCAGCCAAGGCAACACTAGGAGCCTTCGAGGGGCTCACCATCCCACTTCTCCTTACCTCCTTTCCTGAAATCTTCAGGAGCTCCTTCATGACGTCAACCCTCCCTGACAGCACCGCATTCTCAGTCAGTGTCACCGAGTAGGTGCTGCTGTTGGCCGGTAGGTGCCACTTGTACTGTGATGCAGGGAGAGAGGGGAAGAGGAGAGGTGAGGGATAGAGGTAGGGAGGAAGGGGCAATGTGATAATCAGTCAATGTCACCGAGTAGGTGCTGCTGTTGGCCGGTAGGTGCCACTTGTACTGTGATGCAGGGAGAGAGGGGAAGAGGAGAGGTGAGGGATAGAGGTAGGGAGGAAGGGGCAATGTGATAATCAGTCAATGTCACCGAGTAGGTGCTGCTGTTGGCCGGTAGGTGCCACTTGTACTGTGACGCAAGGAGGGGAGAAAGAGGGGACGAGGGAAAGAGGTTGTCAAATATTGGCAAATATTAATACTTGTAACAGGAAGACCGTCAACGTTCGGAATCCAAGTGGCTGTTGCTGTTGGCGAATAGATACCATGTACTGTGATGGAGGGAACGGGGGGTGGGGGAGATACGCTATACACGTAGAATCAAGGAACGCAGGGATGCAGCCGGCAGGTGAAGAGAACATTCTGAGCCCAAATCATGTCACACACACTCACACTCAGCCATGTCAAGGCGCACACACACCCACAGTCAGCGCACCTGGGAGTGTTTTTGAGAACACTCATGTCACACACCCACACTCAGCCATCTCAAGACGCCCACCCACCCACGCACGCACGCACGCACGCACGCACGCACGCACGCACGCACGCACGCACGCACGCACGCACGCACGCACGCACGCACGCACGCACGCACGCACGCACGCACGCACGCACGCACGCACGCACGCACGCATGCACTCACAGTCAGCGCACCTGGGAGGGCACAGGGATGCACCCGCCGCAACGATGGCATCAAAGGCGGCTCTGCATGCTCAATGAACACATGTGCAGCGCACCTGGGAAGGCACCTACGCTGGGCTGAGTTTACAGGGAGGGCACCTATGTTCAGCGCACCTGGGGGGGCCTGAAGGAGTTGGGGAAGACCAGGATGCACCTGGCAGCGATGGCATCTGGAGGGAACACACTACGGCCAGAGCATGCTGCACACTCACACTCACTCACTCACACACACACCCACACACTCTAATTACCTGGGAGGGCACAAAGGAGTTGAGGAAGACAGGAATGCAGCCAGCAAGGCAACGATGGCATCGAAGGTAGCTCTGCGGGCGCCGGTGTGGCCCGATGGGATGATGCAGAAGGCGGCATCGGTGAAAAGGTAGAGGAAGAAGGAGTGCATGCACACACCCACCCACACCCACCCACACCCTCCGCCCCACACACAGCCCACACCTACACTCAGCGCACCTCACAGGACAACTACACTGAGGTTACCAATAGCTCACCTGGGAGGGCACGAAGGAGTCAAGGAAGACGGGAATGCAGCCGGCCATGATGGCATCAAAGGCAGCTCTGCGAGTGCCCGTGTGGCCCGAAGGGATGATGCAGAAGGCAGCATCGGTGAATAGGTAGAGGAGGAGTGAGAGCATGCACACACACACACACCCACACCCTCCCCCTTCCCCCCCTTCCCTCGACACACACACTCTTACACCCACACCTACACTCAGCGCACCTGGGAGGGCACGAAGGAGTCGAGGAAGACGGGGATGCACCCAGCCACGATGGCGTCGAACGCGGCTCTGCGAGCTCCGGTGTGGCCCGATGGGATGATGCAGAAGGCAGCATCGGTGAAGAGGTCCATGAGCACCTCTGGGCGCGTGCATATATCTTCAACGCATTCCAAGTAGCTGTGGTTGGGAGGGATAGTGAGGGGTTTGGAGAGGTGGTTGACAGTCAGACAGACGGTACGATGCAAAAGGCAGCATCGGTGATGAGATCCATGAGCACCTCTGGGCGCGTGCAGATGTCCTCCACACACTCTAAGTATCTGTGGTGGTGAGGGGTGTAGAGAGGTACTTGACAGTCAGATGACACGGTCAGGCAGGCAGAAGGTGCGAGGCAGAAGGCAGGGTTAGTGACTAGGTCCATGAGCACCTCAGGACGCGTGCAGATGTCCTCCACACACTCTAAGTATCTGCGGTAGTGAGGGATAGTGCGGGGTAGTGAGGGGTAGTGAGGAATAGTGAGGGGTTTAGAGGAGTACTTGGCAGTCAGGCAGATGGTACGGGGCGGAAGGCAGCGTCGGTGAAAAGGTCCATGAGGACCTCTGGGCGCGTGCAGATGTCGTCAACACACTCCAGGTAGCTGTGGTGGTGGTAAGGGGTTTAAAGAGGTCGTGGGAGGAGGGTATTAAATAGAAAGGGAGAGCCTTAGAAGGGGGCATCGGAGGAGAGGTCCATGAGAACCTCTGGTCGCGTGCAGATGTCCTCCACACACTCGAGATACCTGGTGGTAGTGAGGGGTGTAGAGAGGTACTTGACAGTCAGACAACTCGGCCAGGCAGGCAGACGGTAGAATGCAGATTGCAGCATCGATGAAGAGACCCATGAGGACCTCTGGGCGCGTGCAGATGTCGTCAACCTACTCGATGTAACTGATGTGGTGGTGAGGGGTTTAGAGAGGGTAGTGGAATTAGGAGAGTGAATAGGAGGAGAGAGGCTTGAAGGGCATCAGTACCATGGGAGGCGTGAAGGTGCCCTCCATACATTTGAGTAGCTGGTGGTGAGGGGAGGAGTGGGATAGTGGTGACAGGATGAGAGAACGGAGGGGAGGAGGAGAGGAGGAGAGGAGGAGGGGATGATGGGAGAAGGAGAGGAGGAAACGTGACCCCACACTCCCTTCATCACCCCACACTCACCGGCACGCCTTGGCTTTCTTGCACTGCCTTCCCAACGCCGTGTGCTTGCTGAAGGCGTCCCTCAGTGATGCAAATGCAACAACCACTGTTGAGTTGAGTCCTGCTGCTGCCCACTGGTATACGCCCCGTACCACCCCACCCCACATGCCCTCACTCTCACCGGCATGCCTTGGCCTTCTTGCACTGCCGTCCCAGTGCCTTGTTGTGCTTGCTGAACGCGTCCCTCAGGGATGCAAACGCAGCTAGCGACGTGCGCCGGTGCGACTCCGCTATGCGCTGCCACGTCTGCACGGTGCGAGGGGTGGTGTGAGAGGGGTGGTGAGAGAAGGCGTATCTCAGTCCTTGTTGTGCTTGCTGAACGCGTCTCTCAGTGATGCAAACGCAGCTAGCGACATGCGCCGGTGCGACTCCGCTATGCGCTGCCACGTCTGCATGGTGAAAGAGGTGGTGAAGGGTGGAGTGAGGGAGGGAGAGTGTGAGTGACAGGGGAGTATGATGATGCAATTGACTTCAAACATGGACCTGTGCTGCAGCGACATGTGCCGGTGCGGCCCTGCTATTCCCTGCTTCACGGTGGGAGGAATGGTCAGAGGGATGGGGTGGTGGGAGGGGGAAAAATGTCATCAAGGGGGAATGTGGCAGTGGGCCATGAGGATGGGAGTGCCTTCCAGCATGGCATGTGCGGCTGCCACCAAGGGGGTGTCTTTTGAGTCCTTGGCATGTGCAGCTGCCACCAATAACGATATCTTTTGAGGAGGGTGTGCCTATCTTTTGAGTCGACTCAGAAGTCACCACGGGAGTGCGCCTGTGTGAATCTCCAATGCACTGCCATGTCTGCCTGCCATTTCGATCTGTTGGACGAGGTATAGGAGCCCGTTCAACCCATTACATCCACCGTTGAACTTCCTTTCCGCCCTGGGTGCTCACCTTGTAGTCCTTCTCCCAGCGCGGGTGGAAGAAGGTGAGAGGGGGGATGCCGATTTCCGTCTCCTCCCACAGGTTTGCCGCCAGCACCAGCTTGGTCACCTGTGAGGGGCGGGATAGGACGGAAGGAATGTGCACAAGCGCATTGAAGCAGGGCGGAATCATGGCAGGGATGGATGTGCGAGTTTGGCATGACGGGGAGCATGCCACGGAGTGTGCAAGAGAGGGATTGGGGGCACCCAAAACAACGCCTCCTGGCTCACATACGCACAAGTGATAGTGCATGATCCGCTCTGTGACAAGAATACAAGTTTTGAACTCCGGGTGGTGCATCTTTCCATCCAGCTCACGTGTCTAATCCCTTCCATTCCCAAACTTCTTCATTCCCTTCCCCCCACCTCCTCGACACGTGCTTCATATCATGCAGCAACAGCAGTTGGTTGTTTCAATAAGATCTCTTTGACCTTCTGAAGTGCCCATCTAAGCAAAGATAAAAAAGGAAAGTCAGGCAGGGTTATTCATGTTCGGCAGCTCCTTGTTGTTCCCCTTCCTCCCTCCTCCTCCCCACTCACGTGCTTCATCTCTGGCAGAAGCAGCAGCCGGTTGCCCCATTGTGACCCCTCTGACCGCCTGAAGTCCCACGAGCCCTGCCCCAGCACTATGAAATGGTCCGCTCCGTTTCGCTTCTGCGGAGAGGCAAGAAGCAAACACAAGGAGCAATCACTTCGTTAGCCCTCCTGCCCCATTGGGACCCCTCTGACCGCCTGAAGTCCCACGAGCCCTGCCCTGCCCCAGCACAACGAAGTGGTCCGCTCCCCTGCTTTTCTGCAGCACAAAAGGAGAAGACAAAAGGCACACAAGTGCTGCACCACTGAGGCCCTGCATCTCTCTGACCGCCGCAAATCCCACAAGCCCTGCCCCGGCACTATGAAGTGGTCCGCTCCCCTGCTTTTCTGGTCAGCACGGGAAGAACGCAGAAACATTAGGCACGCCATTAGCCCAGCCCCAGTGGAGCAGCTCTCATAACCAGAACTTGCAAGGGTCCTGCCCAAGGGTGCAGTGCGGTATGAATGGTGGATACCCGTCGTGCTCAGCCCCAATGTCACCATGCACATACAGATTACAACATGAAGGCCCAAATGCATTTCTCCTGCAGGTTTTGGGTTTAGGATTCAGGCTGGAGATTTTGATACTATAATTCCGTGCCTTGCTCACCAATCGCTGATTCAGGTGCTTACATGTGGCCCCAGATGCATTTCTCCTGTGGTTTTCGGGTTGAGGGTTTGGGGCTTACAGTACTTATAACTAGCCTGGCCCAGACGCATTTGCACAAGAAAGATGCACATGTTATGTAGTGTCCCAACACACTCAACCTACGCACCTTGAAGTGCTCCCTTCTCATGAGCCACTTGGCGAGCCCATCATGCATGCGGTCACGGTCGTCCAGAGATGCATTCTCCGACACACAGAGCAGAGCAGGGGTATACCACCACACACCGTACCACCTCTAGCCGTTTCCCACCTTGAAGTGCTCTCTCCGCATGAGCCACTCGGCGAGCCCATCAAGCATGCGGTCACGGTTGTCCAGAGACACACAGAGCAGAGCAGGGCAGGTACACCCCCACATACCAGACCATACCAAATCACCTCTAACCGCTTCGTACCTTGAAGTGCTCCCTTCTCATCAACCACTTGGCAAGCCCATCGTGCATGCGGTCACGGTCGTCCAGGGACGCGTTCTTGGCGAAGTGCCAGCGAGTGACGTCCAGCGACGCGTAGAAGGGGATGAAGAAGAGGTCCGCCTTGTCTGGATCGCTGGTGATGCACTTGTACGCCTTGCGCAGGCGATAATGGAATACCATCTCCAGTGCGTACTGGCACACAGTGCGGGAGAGACAAGAGTTGGAGTGTGGGGAAGGGGTTGGGAATGGAGAACAGGTCCGCTTTGTCTGGTCGCTCGTGATGCACTTGTATGCCTTGCGCAGGCGATAGTGAAACACCATCTCCAGGGCGTTCTGGGGATGAGGAAGGGGAGAGACGAGGGGAAGAAGAGGCATAGAAGGGGATGAAGAACAGGTCCGCCCTGTCTGGGCCACTCGTGATGCACTTGTACGCCTTACGCAGACGGCAGTGAAACACCATCTCCAGGGCGTACTGGGGGAGAGCAAGGGGAGAGACAAGGGGAAGAAGAGGCGTAGAAGGGAATGAAGAAGAGGTCCGCCTTGTCTGGATCGCTCGTGATGCACTTGTATGCCTTGCGGAGACGGTAATGAAACACCATCTCCAAAGCGTACTGGGAGGAGGGGCACATGGAAAATGGCGAAAGGGTAGGGGAGAGAAGAGGCGTAGAAGGGGATGAAGAACAGATCTGCCTTGTCTGGATCGCTCGTGATGCACTTGTATGCCTTTCGGAGCCTGTAGTGAAACACCATCTCCAGGGCGTACTGGGGGAAAGAGAGAGGAGAGGATAGGGAAAAGAGGCATAGAAGGGGATGAAGAACAGATCCGCCTTGCCTGAGTCGCTCTTGATGCACTTAAACGGTGACAGGGTGGGGCATGAAGAAGATATCCGCCCGGTCTGGATCGCTCGTGATGCACTTGTACGCCTTGCGCAGGCGGTAGTGAAACACCATCTCCAGCGCATACTGGGGGAGAGCGAGGGGAGAGACAGGTGAAGAAGAGGCGTAGAAGGGAATGAAGAAGAGATCCGCCTTGTTGTCTGGGTCACTGGCAATGCACTTATATGCCTTGTGCAGCCGGTAATGAAACACCATCTCCAGGGCGTACTGCCATGCACACAGTGTGGAGAGAGAAACAAGAGACAAGGGCATGAAGAAGAGGTCTGCTCAGTCCGGGTCGCTGGTGATGCACTTCTAGACCTATCGCAGGCGGTAGTGAAACACCATCTCCAAAGCATACTGGGAGGGGAGGCGCATGGGTAGAATGGGGAGAGGGGAGAGGGGGTGGCTCGTGATGCACTTGTACGCCTTGTGCAGGCGGTAGTGAAAGGGAAATTCAGAGAGAGGGGAGACTCAAGATGGGGAGGGAGGTAATGCGGTTGGTTAGCCCTGTCATGAAATATACTCCAGAAACAGTGTACGGTGCATTTGAGAGAAATTGTAACGCATGATGTATGGTGCGGTGCAGTGCAGTGCAGTGCAGTGCAGTGCAGTGCGGTGCAGTGAGTGCGTACCATGTGTGTCTCGAACCATCGGCCAGAGGGTAGAAGCAGCTTGCTGTTGCGGATCCGCTTCCCCAAACCATCGTTCTGCATGCACCCATGGGGAAAAACGCACATGGGGGTATGCACAGCGAGACATGGGACACGAGAACAGAAACGTTGGTCCAAAAAGAGCCCAGCCAGCACAAGTGTTTAACCAAGCCTAGCCAGACAGCCAGCCAGCACATGTCACAAGCGAAATCACAAGCTTATACACTATTGTTGGTGCAGGCAATTTTCAAGGTAAAAAAAAAGAGCATATACGCATGCACGCACCTGGAAGTGCGGGCAGATGGAGAACCAGGGCAGCAGCGTGGCGCACTGCTCCACGAGCCCAAGACCCCTTAACACCCTTACACCCACCCATACACACCCCCCACACACACGCCCACGCACCTGGAAGTGCGGGCAGATGGAGAACCAGGGCAGCAGCGTGGCGCACTGCTCAACCAACCCGCGGTTGTACGCCTGAGCCAGCTTGTGAATATACACCACCCGCCCCCGACACCCCTCCACGTCTATTGGCTCGCCCACTGGATCCGCCGCCACTGCTGCTGCTTCTGCTTTCTGGTAAGGAGGGAAGGGGGAGAAAGGGAGGGGAAGGGCGAGCTTGTGGATGAGCACAGTGCGCCCCCGACACCCCTCCACGTCTATCGGCTCGCCCACCGGGTCTGCCGCCACTGCTGCTGCCTCCGCTTTCTGGTAAGGAGGGAGGGGGAGAAGGGGAGGGGAACGGCCAGCTTGTGAATATACACCGTGCGCCCTCGACACCCCTCCACGTCTATCGGTTCACCCACTGGATCCGCTGCCACTGCTGCTGCCTCCGCTTTCTGGGATGAGAAGTGGAGAGCGAGAGAGGAAGGGAGGGGAGGTAAACGGATGAAGGGGAGAGGGAAGGGGGAAAAGGGGAGGGGAAGGGCGAGCTTGTGAATGAACACCGTGCGCCCCCGACACCCCTCCACGTCTATTCGTTCACCCACTGGGTCCGCTGCCACTGCTGCTGCCTCCGCTTTCTGGAGGAGCGATGGGGAAAGGAGGAATGGGAGGCAATACGGGGGAAGAGAGAGTGCCAAAAGGATACAAGGGACGAGAGGTGGAGAGTGGGGGAAGAGAGGTTAGCAATGCATTGGCAAAAGAAATGAAACAGTGAGCAGATGGCAAATGCGCACCACTTCCTTGGCAGCAACCGACTGCTGTTCAGACGAACCCGCACTCTCCCCAGCCGCCTCCCCACCCCCGCTGCTGCCACTCTCCCCATCACTGCCACCACCGTCACCACCACCGTCTCCACCACCGTCACCAGCGCCAGCAGCACTGTCATCTGCAGGCCCAGCCCCTTCGTCCTCCTCCCCTGCTGCTTCTCCACTGCCATGCGAGCCCTCCTCCTCCTCCCTCGCCTCCTCTTCCTCTCTCCCCTCCTTCTCCTCCTTCTCCTCCTCCTCGTCCTCCTTCTCCCCCTCCTCCTCATCCCCTTTCTTCCCGCTGTCCGTACCTGCCTCACTGCGCCTCTTCTTCCCTTCCTTCCCACCACCATCCTCCTCGTCATCATCTTCATCATCCTCCCCCTCCTCATCTTCGCTCTCACTCTTATCCCCTGCCTTCTTCTCACTCTTGCCTCCCGCTTCCCCCTCTCCACTCCCCTCCTCACTCTCCTCATTGTCTCCCCTATGCTCACCCTCACTCTTCCCTCCCGCGTCCTTCTCACCCTTCTCCTCCTTCTCCTCCTCCTCCTCGTCACCATCCTTCCCATTCTCATCCTCATCCTCCTTCCCTTGCCCCACACTCGCTTTCACCTCAGCCTCCTCTTCTCCCCCTGGCCGATCACGAACCACTTCCCCAAACACACCGCTGCCATGGGGTATCCTCTCCGGGAATTGCTCATGCTCTCTCTCAGGGAATTGCTGATGCTCTTTCTCAGGGAATGGGTGCGGCTCCTTCTCATGGAATGGCTGATGATCCTTCTCAGGGAATTGCTGCTGATGATCCCTCTCAGGTAAATGCTGCTGACGCTCCCTCCAAGGGAATGGCTGCGGCTCTTTATCAGGATACGCCTGCCCGCCCTGCCCTGCTTCTCTACCTGCCTCCCCACCCACAGCAGCAGCAGCAGCGGTAGCACCTCCTTCCACAGTAGCAGCAGAAGTGCCGCCACTGGCACCACCACCAGCAGCGTGACTACTGGCAGTATCGGCATGTGCTAGCTCAAGCTGGGACGCCTGCAGGCATGCGCACACACGTAGAGGAAGGAACGGGCGATAAGGAACACATTGCAAGCAGCAGCAGAGTGACTACTGGCGGTATCAGCATATGTTATCTCAAGATGAGACGCGTGCAGGCATATGCACGCACATCCACAGGAAGGAATGGGTGGTAACGAGCGCATTTTAAGCAGGGAGCATGTGCAGCAGGGAGCACGTGTGCAGCAGGGAGCACGTGTGCAGCAGGGAGCACGTGTGCACGTGTGCAGCAGGAGCACGTGTGCAGCAGAGAGCACGTGTGCAGCAGAGAGCACGTGTGCAGCAGAGAGCACGTGTGCAGCAGAGAGCACGTGTGCAGCAGAGAGCACGTGTGCAGCAGAGAGCACGTGTGCAGCAGAGAGCACGTGTGCAGCAGAGAGCACGTGTGCAGCAGAGAGCACGTGTGCAGCAGAGAGCACGTGTGCAGCAGAGAGCACGTGTGCAGCAGAGAGCACGTGTGCAGCAGAGAGCACGTGTGCAGCAGAGAGCACGTGTGCAGCAGAGAGCACGTGTGCAGCAGAGAGCACGTGTGCAGCAGAGAGCACGTGTGCAGCAGAGAGCACGTGTGCAGCAGAGAGCACGTGTGCAGCAGAGAGCACGTGTGCAGCAGAGAGCACGTGTGCAGCAGAGAGCACGTGTGCAGCAGAGAGCACGTGTGCAGCAGAGAGCACGTGTGCAGCAGAGAGCACGTGTGCAGCAGAGAGCACGTGTGCAGCAGAGAGCACGTGTGCAGCAGGGAGCACGTGTGCAGCAGGGAGCACGTGTGCAGCAGAGAGCACGTGTGCAGCAGAGAGCACGTGTGCAGCAGAGAGCACGTGTGCAGCAGAGAGCACGTGTGCAGCAGAGAGCACGTGTGCAGCAGAGAGCACGTGTGCAGCAGAGAGCACGTGTGCAGCAGAGAGCACGTGTGCAGCAGAGAGCACGTGTGCAGCAGAGAGCACGTGTGCAGCAGAGAGCACGTGTGCAGCAGAGAGCACGTGTGCAGCAGAGAGCACGTGTGCAGCAGAGAGCACGTGTGCAGCAGAGAGCACGTGTGCAGCAGGAGCACGTGTGCAGCAGAGAGCACGTGTGCAGCAGAGAGCACGTGTGCAGCAGAGAGCACGTGTGCAGCAGAGAGCACGTGTGCAGCAGAGAGCACGTGTGCAGCAGAGAGCACGTGTGCAGCAGAGAGCACGTGTGCAGCAGAGAGCACGTGTGCAGCAGAGAGCACGTGTGCAGCAGAGAGCACGTGTGCAGCAGGGAGCACGTGTGCAGCAGAGAGCACGTGTGCAGCAGAGAGCACGTGTGCAGCAGAGAGCACGTGTGCAGCAGGGAGCACGTGTGCAGCAGAGAGCACGTGTGCAGCAGAGAGCACGTGTGCAGCAGGAGCACGTGTGCAGCAGAGAGCACGTGTGCAGCAGAGAGCACGTGTGCAGCAGAGAGCACGTGTGCAGCAGAGAGCACGTGTGCAGCAGAGAGCACGTGTGCAGCAGAGAGCACGTGTGCAGCAGAGAGCACGTGTGCAGCAGAGAGCACGTGTGCAGCAGAGAGCACGTGTGCAGCAGAGAGCACGTGTGCAGCAGAGAGCACGTGTGCAGCAGAGAGCACGTGTGCAGCAGAGAGCACGTGTGCAGCAGAGAGCACGTGTGCAGCAGAGAGCACGTGTGCAGCAGAGAGCACGTGTGCAGCAGAGAGCACGTGTGCAGCAGGGAGCACGTGTGCAGCAGGGAGCACGTGTGCAGCAGAGAGCACGTGTGCAGCAGAGAGCACGTGTGCAGCAGAGAGCACGTGTGCAGCAGAGAGCACGTGTGCAGCAGAGAGCACGTGTGCAGCAGAGAGCACGTGTGCAGCAGAGAGCACGTGTGCAGCAGAGAGCACGTGTGCAGCAGAGAGCACGTGTGCAGCAGAGAGCACGTGTGCAGCAGAGAGCACGTGTGCAGCAGAGAGCACGTGTGCAGCAGAGAGCACGTGTGCAGCAGAGAGCACGTGTGCAGCAGAGAGCACGTGTGCAGCAGAGAGCACGTGTGCAGCAGAGAGCACGTGTGCAGCAGGGAGCACGTGTGCAGCAGAGAGCACGTGTGCAGCAGAGAGCACGTGTGCAGCAGAGAGCACGTGTGCAGCAGAGAGCACGTGTGCAGCAGAGAGCACGTGTGCAGCAGAGAGCACGTGTGCAGCAGAGAGCACGTGTGCAGCAGAGAGCACGTGTGCAGCAGAGAGCACGTGTGCAGCAGAGAGCACGTGTGCAGCAGAGAGCACGTGTGCAGCAGAGAGCACGTGTGCAGCAGAGAGCACGTGTGCAGCAGAGAGCACGTGTGCAGCAGAGAGCACGTGTGCAGCAGAGAGCACGTGTGCAGCAGAGAGCACGTGTGCAGCAGAGAGCACGTGTGCAGCAGAGAGCACGTGTGCAGCAGAGAGCACGTGTGCAGCAGAGAGCACGTGTGCAGCAGAGAGCACGTGTGCAGCAGGAGCACGTGTGCAGCAGAGAGCACGTGTGCAGCAGAGAGCACGTGTGCAGCAGAGAGCACGTGTGCAGCAGAGAGCACGTGTGCAGCAGAGAGCACGTGTGCAGCAGAGAGCACGTGTGCAGCAGAGAGCACGTGTGCAGCAGAGAGCACGTGTGCAGCAGAGAGCACGTGTGCAGCAGAGAGCACGTGTGCAGCAGAGAGCACGTGTGCAGCAGAGAGCACGTGTGCAGCAGAGAGCACGTGTGCAGCAGAGAGCACGTGTGCAGCAGAGAGCACGTGTGCAGCAGAGAGCACGTGTGCAGCAGAGAGCACGTGTGCAGCAGAGAGCACGTGTGCAGCAGAGAGCACGTGTGCAGCAGAGAGCACGTGTGCAGCAGAGAGCACGTGTGCAGCAGAGAGCACGTGTGCAGCAGAGAGCACGTGTGCAGCAGAGAGCACGTGTGCAGCAGGGAGCACGTGTGCAGCAGAGAGCACGTGTGCAGCAGAGAGCACGTGTGCAGCAGAGAGCACGTGTGCAGCAGAGAGCACGTGTGCAGCAGAGAGCACGTGTGCAGCAGAGAGCACGTGTGCAGCAGAGAGCACGTGTGCAGCAGGGAGCACGTGTGCAGCAGAGAGCACGTGTGCAGCAGAGAGCACGTGTGCAGCAGAGAGCACGTGTGCAGCAGAGAGCACGTGTGCAGCAGAGAGCACGTGTGCAGCAGAGAGCACGTGTGCAGCAGAGAGCACGTGTGCAGCAGAGAGCACGTGTGCAGCAGAGAGCACGTGTGCAGCAGAGAGCACGTGTGCAGCAGAGAGCACGTGTGCAGCAGAGAGCACGTGTGCAGCAGAGAGCACGTGTGCAGCAGAGAGCACGTGTGCAGCAGAGAGCACGTGTGCAGCAGAGAGCACGTGTGCAGCAGAGAGCACGTGTGCAGCAGAGAGCACGTGTGCAGCAGAGAGCACGTGTGCAGCAGAGAGCACGTGTGCAGCAGGGAGCACGTGTGCAGCAGGGAGCACGTGTGCAGCAGAGAGCACGTGTGCAGCAGAGAGCACGTGTGCAGCAGAGAGCACGTGTGCAGCAGAGAGCACGTGTGCAGCAGAGAGCACGTGTGCAGCAGAGAGCACGTGTGCAGCAGAGAGCACGTGTGCAGCAGAGAGCACGTGTGCAGCAGAGAGCACGTGTGCAGCAGAGAGCACGTGTGCAGCAGAGAGCACGTGTGCAGCAGAGAGCACGTGTGCAGCAGAGAGCACGTGTGCAGCAGAGAGCACGTGTGCAGCAGAGAGCACGTGTGCAGCAGAGAGCACGTGTGCAGCAGAGAGCACGTGTGCAGCAGAGAGCACGTGTGCAGCAGAGAGCACGTGTGCAGCAGAGAGCACGTGTGCAGCAGAGAGCACGTGTGCAGCAGAGAGCACGTGTGCAGCAGAGAGCACGTGTGCAGCAGAGAGCACGTGTGCAGCAGAGAGCACGTGTGCAGCAGAGAGCACGTGTGCAGCAGAGAGCACGTGTGCAGCAGAGAGCACGTGTGCAGCAGAGAGCACGTGTGCAGCAGAGAGCACGTGTGCAGCAGAGAGCACGTGTGCAGCAGAAATCACGTGTGCAGCAGAAATCACGTGTGCAGCAGAAATCACGTGTGCAGCAGAAATCACGTGTGCAGCAGAAATCACGTGTGCAGCAGAAATCACGTGTGCAGCAGAGAGTCAAGGCAAGAAACGGGGGCGACGAAAGATTGCCCTTGCCTGCTATGTGTTACTCTACTTCACTCCATCTCACCTGCTGCTGGCTCAACTGCTGCGCTGCTGCAGCGAGTGCATGGTCGTCCTGCCTCGCTAGCTTTAAAGGGCTCGGTGACTTCAAAGTCAGCTAAAATGATTCCATCTCACCTGCTGCTGGCTCAACTGCTGCGCTGCTGTAGCGAGTGCATGGTCGTCCTGCCTCGCTAGCTTTAAAGGGCTCGGTGACTTCAAAGTCAGCTAAAATGATTCCATCTCACCTGCTGCTGGCTCAACTGCTGCGCTGCTGTAGCGAGTGCATGGTCGTCCTGCCTCGCTAGCTCCAATAGGCTTGCCTCGTCCTCCCCCCCGCCTGCTATGACTGCTGGTGAATGGGGTATGGATGGCATGATGGCATGATATTGGGGTCAAATGAAAGCCCACCATGACATGACAGCACGAGGACATGATGACACGAGGACATGACAGCACGAGGACATGACAGCACGAGGACATGACAGCACGAGGACATGACAGCACGAGGACATGACAGCACGAGGACATGACAGCACGAGGACATGACAGCACGTGGACATGACAGCACGTGGACATGACAGCACGAGGACATGACAGCACGAGGACATGATGGCACGAGGACACGATGGCACGGGGACATGATGGCACGAGGACATGATGGCACGAGGACATGATGGCACGAGGACATGATGGGCATTATGGCATGATAACACAACATGATGACATGATGGCATGATAACACAACATGGTGAAATGCTGGCATGGTGACACGATGGCATGATGACACGACGGTTTCAAAGAATTACTCTACGTTCTTGAACCAACTTCTGTTTTCATCGTATGTCTCTTTCCCTCTGTGTCCTCACCAAAACCTCGTTCTCTCACTCCCTGCTTCCCTTCCGTCCTATGCTTCCCCATAACACCACTTCTCTCCACGTGTCAATCCCTCCTCGCCATTCCTCTCGCCCTCCTTCCACTCCTCTCCTCTGCTCCACCATTCTCTCCAACCGCCCTTCCCTCCACCCCTCTCCACTCCTCTCGTCTACTCAATCATCCCCAGTAACCCACCCCTTCCCTCCCCTCCTCTCTTCTCCCCAAGGTCTCACAGTGAGTGGTGTGCGCGGCAACAGGCTGAGCCGGTTCCTGTAGCGATGACGTGGTCTCCGTGTGTGTGAGCTGAGGGGCAGAGAGGTGGGGGTGTGGAAGAGAGAGGCGGAATGAGGGGATATTGCAAACATCGTAACATTGCATACATACACTGCAGCATTGCGTAATTGAAGAGATTGCATACGGTGTGTAGAACGAAAGCGCTCGTCCTGGTTTTGTCACGCATATCGACTAACTCGTCGTCTAGTAACTTAGAGGTCGTCAACCGAGTGTACAGCTCTTGAAAAACTCGAAACTAGGCTTTCCCCGCCAGCCGCGCAAGCAGCTACGCGCGCGCAAACAGGTCACGTGCATTCACCGTGGCCTTCCCGTAGTAAGGCGAGCGGCCCTTTCACGTGTCGCTTGAACCGCTGGGCCAACCGTGGTGCCCTTGGTGATGTCTAACCCGCCTGCATTGCTTGAGTCAACTCTATAGTCTCAACGTAACTAGGCGAGCGGCCCTTTCACGTACGTGTTCTGTCGCTTGAACCGCGGGGCCGACCGTGGTGCCCTTGGTGATGTCTGACCCGCCTGCATTGCATCGCATGTCCGCGGTACGGGAGGAGGAACGACGAGATGATTCAACGTCGGAGGAATAGAGGGCATCTCTTGTCGTGATTAATAAAATGTGGGAGAAGGTTGAGCGGGAGGAGAAGGAGAGAGTGGCACAGACGAGGACGGGAAAGTAAGGACACGTCGACGTCGCTCGCGCGCAAGGTAGAAAGCTCAGCAGCTTGCGGATCCGCGATTTGCGAAGCTTCAAAGGTATTACAAACAATTTTCCAGACGGCTGATGCATACGCACTACCGCTACCCCTGGCACTGCAGCGGCACAGTGTGTCAGAACGAGACGCTCCTTGCTCCAGACGACGGTGTTGCTCACTAATAATTACGAATGTGGTCAGTGATGGAGATAAGTGTCAGAGGGTTTGCTCCTGATGAATAATAAGAAAGGAAATGGTGGTTACTTACTTTGATTGGTCGGATGCGACGGTCTGGCGAGCATAACGATGAGAATGACTGCTGCGACGGTGATCATGGCGACCTGTGCGACGAACTGTCGCCGCTTCTGCGCCGCCGATCGCGGAGCGAAAATGGAATCCGACTTCCGCTTGGCCTCATCGTGGTCCGACCCGTCAGGCGATTGCCTCCCGCCTGTCGCATGTCCTCGTCGCACGTCCATCGGTGCGACTGTGCGATGGGACTACCGGTTGTAACGAAACGACTATGGAGAAAAAAAAACGAAACGATAACGCAGAGTCTGTTCGGGTTTCACGACATATTAACCCTGGATGAAGAACATGCGGGAATGAGAATGTGGGAAGTGTTTGAGAAGAGGTCAGAAGGACGGATGGCGCAGGAGAACGAGAAAGGAAACTTGGGCAAGGGAGGTTCAACCTTGGGATTCCGTTTTGCTGCAGCCGCGAGAATCTGGAATCTGAAAAATGGCGGGGAGAGAAGGCAAAGGGTGCGTTCCTGGCGCGTGTCAAGCTTCCGGTCATCCGCGGATGACCGGAAGTTAGACCCACTTTGGGTCATCCGAGACCAACTTCGGGTCTTCCGGCCAAAAATTGCCCCTGTTTCCGGAAAACACAAGGTTTGACAGGAACTTTAACCCAAAGCTTCGGGTCTTCCCGGGAAGGCCCGAAGCTTGACACCAGCCAGGAACGTACCCAAACTGGCAATGAGGGTTCAAGTTATGTTTCGGGCTTACCCCGACAGTCTTGGTACCCTCAAATCATGAATTTATTTTTTAGCAAAGATCCCACCACTGATTGACTCCAGTGAGCTGTCGCCACTGCACCTGGGTCCATCCTCTGGGACCACTGGTGTTCACTAAAAGTCAGCGCTGATTTACAAATCTTGAGAATGGAAGTGCTAATCGCTTTTGGCGTGTACGGGAAAATAACTTGTTCTGCTACCACCCTTCTGCGAATTGTGCACGAGGTCCATTTCGGTAACCTGGTTGCCTGAGTGGTGGTTTCGCCACTTCTTCGCGGCTTGGTTTCGTTTCTGCTTCTCACCACGTAAATCCAACGCATTCATTCAGGCAGCGCATAACGAACGTTTCACACAAACTGTACTGCACGCCCTGGTTACCGGCTGTAACATTTCTCCTCGCCACATGCATCTTTGACCCTGCGCGGAGGTGTCAGAAACGGAATACCCCAAACACGCTAGCTCCTTTTCAGTTTCTGCCTTCAAGGTGTTGGCCTAAGCGGCGCGGCTCCTGTTATCTAAGCACCTTTCGAAATTAGGGGAAATTCAGGAATCTTATTTTTAGGCAGACGTTATTTCGCTGCTTTATGACCTGATTGGAGGATAGGCCTGCAAGCATGAATCAAGAGGAGCAAAATGGCGGCGAAGAGTCCGTTTCCGCGGTGTACATGCGGGTACGCAATTGCCAACGTAACCAATTATGTGCATCGAGGCTAAGTTTAGCGTCGTCTGGGAATAGCGAGAGGGGAAGATGTGTGCAGCTGCGTGTTATAACGTATAGCTGGACACAGGTGTTGTCATGGAGAGCGTATACCGTACCATATAGGTGTCGTTCCACAACATTGACTCTTCCTATCCCGTTTTCTTGCACTCTTCGTGACGCTATCGCATGCACGCCTTTCTCAACCACTCTGTTAATCTCCCCGCTTAGCCGTGGATGCCGTTTGGAGCTCGTAGGGATGTCTGAGAACAATGAAGGGCCTTACTTTCTCGAGCTATCGCAAAGGCTCGTGCGTGACCGCAACACATTCAAAGCCGAAGTCGTACCGGAAGTCTCGCCCAGCAGCGCGTGGTTTCCGTTAGAGAGCCTCATGCAGCCCGGAAAATAATAATAATAAAAAAGAATAATAACGAAAATAATTGCCACGACCTCAGCGTTTACAGCCTTTCCCTTCCAGGGGGGAGCTGGGGGGAGTTGGTTTGAAGCGGAGGAGGGGGAAGCGGGAGGAGGTTACAGATGGAGTGGAAAGCGGATTAGACGTTCCCCTTTTCATCTGCAGGAGCAAGGGAAGCGACGCTGGTGACAGAGAGGAAGAGGAGGGAGCGGGAGCACACATAAGCCGACTGTTGCCTGGAGATACTTGCCACGTGTCACCTCACCAGCCACCTGTCAACTCTCATGTGTCACTTGTCCGCGCCCCTGTGTTCCTCTGAGCAGGAGCAGCAGGAACGGCTGCTGATGATGAAGCGCACAAGAACACGGCGCAGCGCAATGAGCTGCCCCCCCTCTCGTGTAAAAGTCCAATCATCCACTTGTCGACTCGGCCACTGGCCCATGAGAACTTCACACCTCTCATCTGTCACATGTCACCTGTGTGTGTGTCACCGTGTTTCTTTCCATGAGCAGGAGCGGCAGGAGCGGATGCTGATGATGAAGCGCAAGAACATGGAGCGCGAGGAGAAGGAGGGCCGCCCAGCAGCGCGCCAGAGGCGAGCCGCTGACGGTGCTGCTGGTGGTGGTGGTGGCGGCGGTGGTTACGGTGGTGGGGGTGGGGGGGGTAACGGGTACCATGGGCATGGGGAGGGTGGCGGGTCGGAGCACCGAGCGTCGGGGGGTCAGAGGAGGCCGTCTTGTGGGCCGCTCCCTGATGGTACGTCCCGTTCTGTTCAACGATTCAATTCAATTGTTTTAAAGACCGTGCCTGATGGCACGTTCTGTTTGGTTCGATTGACGCAAAGCCCTTGCGTGATGGTACGTACATGCCACTCAGTTCCGAGACACCGACGCCGTCACTTCACCGATTTGGAGACATTCGTGAAGTCTGACTCAAAAGCCTCTGCCTGCCGGCAAGTTCCGGTTCCAGTTGGCACCTATTGGGCAACCTGTACTATAGGGTTGCCGCAGTGCCCCTGCGCTTCATGTAAGGCAAGGCACTGCTGAGGCAGGCGTGCAGGGAGTTGGAAAATCTAGTAAGCTCCTTATCCTTGAACCTCCCCTTCTCACCCCAACCCTCTTTCCATCCCTTTGATTGTCTCCCGTACTTTTTCCGTTTCCTTGTTGTGCTCCCAGGGTGAATGGACTGCCCGTCGATGGGCGAGACCACGGGGCTGCTCATTCCCGCCAAGGCACCGCTGGGAGAGGTGTTCAGAGAGCTTGTGGAGCCGGGCAACCACCTTCTCCCGTCCCCTCCTCTGTTTTCTCTTCTGATAAACTTTCCCTCCCCTCCTGCCTGCATCCTTAACCATTCAGGGTGGGTGGACTGCCCCTCTATGGGCGAGGCCATGGGGCTGCTCATTCCGTGCAAGGCGCCGCTGGGAGAGGCCTTCAGAGAGCTGGTGGAGCTGAAAAGACCAGCTTGTTCCTCCACCCGTCCCTGATCCAACTACTCCTCCTGTTTTCCTGCTCCCTTTTTCCCATCCAGGGTGGGTGGACTGCCCCTCTATGGGCGAGGCCATGGGGCTGCTCATTCCGTGCAAGGCGCCGCTGGGAGAGGCGTTCAGAGAGCTGGTGGAGCCGGGCAAGCGGTGGTCACCCGACGTGGCGCTCAAGCAGACACGCAGCATGAAGAAAGACGTAGGTGGCGGTGGTGGGGGGCTGGTGGGGTTGGTGGGATGGGGATGAGGGGAGGGCGAGGCTTGTATGCATGTAGCAAGGGATGTCTTGTGGGAGAAGCAGGCAAGCGGTGGTGCCCCGATGTGGCGCTCAAGCAGACGCGGAGCATGAAGAAAGACATAGGTGGCAGTGGGGGTGGGTGGAGAGGAGACGGAGAGATTGTGTTGTGTGTATGCAGTTAGCGCACGCGGACCCCCGATGTGGGTACGCAAGTTTTGGTTAGCGAGGTTTGTTCGCGTGTGTAGCACAGCACAGCACAGCACAGCACAGCACAGCACAGCACAGCACAGCACACAAGCAGTGGACTGTGGCTGTGGCAGACGCGGAGCATGAAGAAAGACGTACGTGGTGGTGGTGGTGGTGGGGGGGGGTGTTGTTGGGGGTATGGAATGGGAGATTGTATGCAGTTGGCGTGGTTCGCATGTGGGCACAGCACACAAGCGGTGAACCCCCCATGTGGCATTGAGGCAGACGCAGAGCATGACGAAAGACGTACGTGGTGGTGGTTGTGGGGTGGGGAGGTGTTGGGTGGGCAGGTGTGGGGTGGGGAGGTGTTTTGGTGCCCTGAGATGCTTTTGAGATTCCTCCAAGTCTGAGTCGCTTTTGAGAATTCTCTGTTGAGAATTCTCTGTTGAGAATTCTCAATTGTGCAGGTGCCCTGAGGTTTTTTAAATCGTTCCCTCCGGTCTGTCCTTGCTTCCTGCGACTCCCTTTTCTCATGTGTAGTGTTGGCAGGTTGGGTTGGTGATCGACCTCACCAACACCACGTGCTTCTACAACCCAAACGACCGGTCGAAGCTTTTTGGCTTGACTCAAAAAGTTTCTCTGTTCCGATTGACCTGACTAACACCACGTGCTTCTCTTGTTAGGGCGCCTCAGAAAGAGACTTTCTTCTCCTCCTCGTGTGTTATGCTTCCTGCATGGCTCTCTTCCCTCATGCGTGATGATCGCATCACATCACAGGTGGGCATGGTGATCGACCTGACCAACACGACGCGCTACTACAACCCAAAAGACTGGCTCAAGTTCAACGTCAAGTACCTCAAGGTGAGAATGCAGGGCGAGGCAGCACGTGCAATGAGGGCAAGGCAAGGCAGCACATGGTGCAGTGAGAGAAGCAGAAAGGGAAGAACCTCAAGGTAAGGGCGCGTCCAGTGGCGGCAAGTAGGAGCGGATTCTGATGCAGGCGAGAGAAGTGCCTAAGGATTGTATGAATGACGGTGAGGAAGATAGGGATTCACATGTGTGAAGCTAAGCAGATGAGAGGGCGGGTAGCACATGCACCCACCCAGTTCAGTAGGGAGTGAAGCAGAGCGAAGTGGATGTGTTGCTCCCTCAGTCACCAGAAGTGTTGCCTTTCCATGCCTCGTACCACTCGTGCCACATGGGTGTACATATTTTCTCCCCTTCACTGCATTTCTCCCCTCCCTGTCTGTCTATGCGTCTCTCACCTTGCCTTGCCTTGCCTTGTCTCTCACTTTCTCGTGTGCGGTGCCCACCAGCTTGCCTGCAGGGGCCGGTTCGAGGTGCCAGACGACGAGACACTTGACTGCTTTTGGGCGCCTCAAAAAAATGTCTCTCTATGTGTCTCTCACCTTGCCTTGTCTTGTCTCGCCCCGTTCTTGTGTGCGGTGCCCACCAGCTGGCCTGCAGGGGTCGAGACGAGGTACCAGACGACGAGACGGTCAACCGCTTTGTCTATGCAGTGAGTTTCCTCCGCTTCCTTCCTCCACACTCGTCTATGCGATAGCTCTCCTATATCCTCCTTTGCCTGGCCCACAAGTGTCCGGCCTGCTGCACTGCATCACACCTCTCAAACACCATCGCACACCCCTTCTCTCGTCCCAACCCGTCCCGTCCCGTCCCGTCCCGTCCCGTCCCGCCCCGCCCCGTCCCGTCCCGTCCCGTCCCGTCCTGTTCCACACCTGCACCCCCCATTACTCGACTCAAAAGTCACACCCGCGCCCTTCATTCCTTGGAAAGGCTCTGGGAATGCCACTGCCCATTCCCTTGGCCCATTCCGTGTCCCAAGGATTTGCGCACGCAAGTGCATTGATACTGCCCCTCCTGCGCCTCTCTCTCGCTCCCTCCCCGTTCCCTGGGTCGCCTGGTCGGCCGTTCCCTGCTCCCCTCCCTCGCGATTTTCCTCTTGCCAGGCACTAGTAGACTACATGCGATCGCATCGTGCTGCACTGCACCGCCCCTCCTTTCCCACGCTCCTCTTCTCACTGCTCCTCTCCAACGCCTCACCCTATTGGCCCTTCACCCGTCCCGTGTCTCCCTCTCCCAGGGTCAGGCGCTGGACTTCATTCGGTCCACGGAACGCAGCAAGAGCACTGTGGTGTGGTGCACTGCCATGCCATGTTCCCCTTTCCGCACCTGCCGCGCCCCGCCCCTCTCTTGCCAGGCGCTGGGCTCCATGCAGGAAGAGCATCCTGGTCACATGGTGCTGTGCTGCGCTGCATTCTCCCACTTGCCTCTCGCTCTCCAACTTGCCTCTCGCTCTCCCACTTGCCTCTCGCTCTCTCCCCTGTCCTGCCTGCCCTTCCTATTGCCAGGCGCTGGACCTCATGCGGGCCGCAGAGCGGTGCAAGGACATCATGATGCATTGCCATGTTCCCCTTTCCTTACCTGCTTCCCTGCCCCCACCTTCCTCTGGCCAGGCGCTGGACTTCATGCGGGCCGCAGAGCGCAAGAAGATCATTGTGCACTGCACGCACCGCCGCTCCAAAACTTATTCCTCGCCCTCGCCCTCCTCCCTTTTTCCCTCCCGTCACTCTCCTTTCCCTCACCGCAGGCGCTGGACTTCATGCGGGCAACGGAGCGCAGGAAGAGCATCATTGTGCACTGCCCTGCCCCTTCAACGACCTTCAACAACTCTTCCAACCATGTTCCCCTTCCACCCACCTTCCCCCGCCCCCCGTCCCACTTGCCAGGCGCTGGACTTCATGCGCGCCACAGAGCGCAAGAAGAGCATCATTGTCACTGCACTCTCCCACTTGCCTCTGTCTCTCCTCTCCCTTGTCCTTCCCCTCCTTCCAGGCGCTGGACTTCATGCGGGCAACGGATCGCAAGAGGAGCATCATTGTGCACTGCACGCACGGGCACAACCGCACGGGCTTCATGATTATCCACCTGCTCATGCGCGCCATGGGGGGCCACGTGGCAGAGGTATGGTGGGTAGATGCTGCATGCACTAATCAATCATGTGTCTTGATGAGACACCATGACAACCGCACAGGGTTCATGATCATTCACCTGCTCATGCGTGCCATGGGGGGCACGTGGCAGAGGTATGGTGTTGTTGGATGCTACATGCGCTGATTTCGTGTCTTTATGAGGCACTACCTACCTAAACACTGTTATCATCCACCTGCTCATGCGCGCCATGGGGGGGCATATGGCAGAGGTATGGTGGCTAGATGCTACATGCACAGTGCACTGATCATGTATCTTCATGAGTCACTACCACAACTGCATGGGGCTCATGATCATCCACCTCCTCATCCGCGCCTGGAGGACACGTGGCAGAGGTGGGCATGTGGCAGAGGTGGGCACGTGGCAGAGGCTAGCAGGGTTCGAAGAGGTGCGCCCTCCAGGAATACGCAAGGAGAGTACATCCAAGCGCTCCACCAGCCTTGCTTCCTCCCAGCCGCTTCACACCCACCTGTCCATCTTCCTTTCCTCCCCCACACCAATGCAGAGGCTAGCGCAATTGGCAGAGGCCCGCCCCCCAGGCATCTACAAAAAAGAGTACGTCCAGGCGCTCTTCTCCTTCTACCATGAGCGGCGCCCCCTCCCAGGCACCTCTCCAGCCCCCACGCACATGTCCGCCCGTCCCTGGGTTCCCCCCAACCCCCTTCCGCACCCCTCTTGCTTCCACAAACGCAGAGACTAGCAGAGTTCGCGGAGGCACGCCCCCCGGGAATATACAAGGAGGAGTACATCCAGTCGCTCTTCTCCTTCTACCATGAGCGCCGCCCCGACGCGGTGATCTGCCCGCCCACGCCCGAGTGGAAGGCCACGTTTGACCTGGACTTGGATCTCAACGTGGCCCTAGAGATGGATGAGGAGGAGGCGGGTGAGGGAGGAGGGAGGGGAGGGGACGACGGGAACGAGGAATGCGGCGCTGCTGTTCTGCCAGAGCCGGTGAGTAAATCACGCAAACAGCCCCGTGGGTGTATACACCCACGTTCGAGTGGAAGGCCACGTTCGACCTGGACCTGGATCTCAACGTGGCCCTTGAGATGGATGAGGAGGAGGCGGGTGAGAAGACAAGTGGTGGCGATGATGGCAATGAGGAGTGCGGCGCTGCTGTTCTGCCAGAGCCGGTGAGTGGATTGACAGACAGCCCCATGGGTGTATACGCCCACGCCCGAGTGGAAGGCCACCTTCGACCTGGACCTCGATCTCAACGTGGCCCTTGAGATGGACGAGGAGGACGCGGGTGGCAGCGCAGGTGGCGGTGATGATGGGAATGAAGAGTGTGGCGCTGCTGTGCTACCAGAGCCGGTAAGTGGGCCAGATAAACAGCCACTGAGTGTGGAAAGCCACGTTTGACCTGGACCTGGATCTCAACGTTGCTCTTGAGATGGACGAGGAGGAGGCGGGTGAGGGAGGAGGGAGGGGAGGGGATGATGGCAACGAGGAGTGCGGTGCTGCCAGAGCCGGTGAGTGGATCACACAAACAGCCCCGTGGGTGTATGCGACCACACCCGAGTGGAAGGCCATGTTCGACCTGGACCTGGATCTCAACGTGGCCCTTGAGATGGACGAGGAGGACGCGGGGGAGGAGGCGGGTGAGGGGGCGGGAGGAAGGGGAGGGGACGATGGGAACGAGGAGTGTGGTGCTGCTGTTCTGCCAGAGCCGGTGAGTGGATCACACAAGCAGCCGGTAAGAGTGGAAGGCCACGTTTTACCTGGACTTAGGGATTTCAACGTGGCTCTTGAGATGGACGAGGAGGAGGCGGGTGAAGGGGGAGGAGTGAGGGGAGGGGACGACGGTAATGAGGAGTGCGTTGCTGCGGTGTTGCCAGAGCCGGTGAGTGGATCAGACAAACAGCCAGTAAGTAAATATAGTGTCCAAAGGCCCACCCGCCCATTCCACCCAACCCTCACCTCACCCTGTGGGTGCATCCACGCCCGAGTGGAAGGCCACATTGTGTGGTGTGGGTGGCGAAACATGCAACTCAAGGTAGATGGGGATATGGTGGCGAGGAGCCTCAGGCAGGTTGGATTGGAAGAGGCGGTGGTGGTGGTGGTGGTGCTGATAAGCTCATCCGTTCATCGGCATGGTTTCCAGGCTCTTCGTCTGCTGCGGCTGTTATTTCTGTTTTGAGTCGACTCAAAACACGTGCTGCTGATGAGCTCATCCTTTCATCGGCGTGGTTTCCATTTCCAGTCTCTCCGTGTGCTGCTGCTATTTCTTTCCGCCCAGGGAGCAAGCAAGGAGGAGGAGGGCAGGAAGATAATGACCATGTGTTGGGCTTGGTTGGTGGATGTGATGTGCTTAAGGGTTGTCAGCATTCACCAATCAGCATGGTGATCTTTCCGCGTGTGTGCATCCAGGAAGCAAGCAAGGAGGAGGAGGGAAAGAAGAAGATGACGATTGACGATGTGCTGGGGTCTGCAATACCAGAGGAGCAGCAGTGGGAGCTGCAGAAAATCGTGTGCACGGGGCTCAAGTCGGTACGTGCAGCAAGGAGGGGAGGTGAATGAAGCAGAGCGGTGCAGAGATGTGCAAATATTGGAGAGGAACGTGGGAATGGTAATTTTGGAGGAACAGCAGATGGTATTCAATCAGAGGAAGTTCATTACGCCGTTGTTGGTGGCGGTGTGGAGGGAAGTCACACGAGTGATTTATACGGTGCTGCTTGAGGAGTCGGCGTTTACGTTCCTTCAATCTTGTGAACGCCGACTCCTCAGACAGTGCCGTATACATCACTCGCGTCACTTCTCTCCACACCGCCCGCCGACAACGGAGGAATGAACTTCCTCAGATTCATTGTGTGTTTTTTTTTTTTTTTTTTGTTTTTTTTTTTTTTTTTTGTTTGTTTGTTTGTTTGTTTTTTTTTTTTTTTTTTTTTTTTTTCTTTTTTCTATTTTACTTTTTAACTTGATCGAAGAAACATAGTGCTCCCCGTCACCGTGGAGTTTCACCCCTTCGTATATACTCTGCTCCTCTTGCTCCTCTTCCCTCTCCCCTCTCTTCTCTTCGCTCTCCCCTCTTCCCCTCCATCACCTTCTCTTCCTCCAGTATTCTATTCGCTAGTCTCTCCTCTTTTTCCTTCTGTTGTGTGCTCATCTCAATCTCACTTCCCCCTCCCGCTTCCCCCCATGTACCCATGGTCCCGTTCCTCAATTCCGCCATTCTCTCAATTAAACTTGCGCCATTTACCTGGTTCTTATCTCGAGCTCCTTTTAAAGTAGTTCCCATTTTCACCTCCTCCCATTCCTCACCCCCCTCCAGAACAATTTCCGGCACTTCCCCGGCTCGCAGCCAGTCTCGCTGGACCTGTAAGCTCCCTCTCTCTCACCGTCCCTCCTTTCCCTTCTCCATCTCACCCCCATCTGTTAAGCCGTTTCAACTTCAAGGTTTGAGTTTCAAGACGCTGCTCGCAGCCAGTCTCGCTGGACCTGTAAGCTTCGGGTCTCTCACGATCATTCCCCTCCCAACCTTAACCCCTCTGTTACGGTGTCTCAGGGTTTAAGATCTCGAATTTAGGGTCAGGTAGGGTAGGGTCAGGTAGGGTAGGGGCGACCCGCTCCGTTCGGGGCAAATGCTCAAGAATATGCCTGGATCACTCTGCACATTTCACATCAATCATGCTTCAAGGAGGAGCCCCTTGAAGATTGGTTAGAAGTGGGGTCCTATGTCGCTGTAAGAGATGAGCTGCCGTTCCTTGTGCCTGTCCTTTTTCTCTCTTCTCTTCCCGTGTGCGTGCGGTCTTTCGAATCTCTACTGCGCTTCACATTTTCTCCCTGTGGACTTCCCAACGCAGGAAGAACCTTCAACGCTTTCCCTCCCTATGCTACCCACCCACTTTCCACATGTGGCATGCATGCATGGTGCATGATGCAGCAAGAACCTGCAGCTGCTGCGGCAGCGGCTGTACTACGTGACGTGGAAGGCTGATGGCACGCGCTACATGATGCTCATCTGCCCCGACGGCTGCTACCTCATCGACAGGTGTGCTTGCACTGACTGACAGGTGTGCTTGCACTGACTGACAGGTGTGCTTGCACTGACAGGTGGACAAGTTGATAGTGGCTGTCTTGGCACGCGCTACATGATGCTCATCTGTCCTGACGGCTGCTACCTCATCGACAGGTGTGCTTGCAGTGACAGCAGGTGCTTGCAGTGACAGGTGCTTGCAGTGACAGGTGCTTGCATGCATGCACAGGTGCTTGAGCTTACAGTGACTGTCTTCTCACGCGCTACATGATGCTCATCTGCCCCGACGGCTGCTGCCTCATCGACAGGTGTGCTTGCCCGGACTGCAGGTGCTCGCATTGACGGAGACTGCTGTTTTGTGCGAAAAATGATGCTTACTTGCCCTGACACATGAGCGGTATGCCATCATATATCGCGATATATGACTGCTGCTACCTCATCGGCACGTGTGTTTGAACATACTGTTCCCTTTCTTGTGACTTTTGAGGCGCCTCAAAAGTCATCGGCAGGTGTGTTTGAACACACTTCGCCCTTTCTTCCCTCCCTCCCCACCAGGAACTTCCGGTTCCGGCGAGTACAAATGAGGTTTCCAGCGCGCAAGCCGGTGGACGATTGGGACGTGCACCGCACCACACTGCTGGATGGGGAGATGGTGGTTGATGAGCTGCCCGGCACTGGCGTGCAGGAGCGGCGTTACCTCATATATGATCTTATGATGCTTGACAGCATGCCGCTGGGGGATGTGAGTATTAAGAGGGGGATGTGAGTATTAAGAGGGGGATGTGAGTATTAAGAGGGGGATGTGAGTATTAAGAGGGGGATGTGAGTATTAAGAGGGGGATTTGAGTATTAAGAGGGGGATTTGAGTATTAAGAGGGGGATTTGAGTATTAAGAGGGGGATTTGAGTATTAAGAGGGGGATTTGAGTATTAAGAGGGGGATTTGAGTATTAAGAGGGGGATTTGAGTATTAAGAGGGGGATTTGAGTGGTGTGTGGGCGAGATAGTGGTTGATGAGCTGCCCGACACTGGCGTGCAGGAGCGGCGCTACCTCATCTATGACCTCATGATGCTGGATGGCGCGTCGCTGGGGGATGTGAGTCGAGAGAGGGTGGAATGTGAGTGGTGTGTGGGGTTGACTGTGACGCACGGCACTGGTTGGCTGCTCTGGCACACTGGCGTGCAGGAGAGGCGCTATTTGATCTACGACCTCATGATGCTGGATGGCGTGTCGCTGGGGGATGTGAGTATAGAGAGGGGGGTTTGGGTGGTGTGTGGGCGAGATGGTGGTTGATGAGCTGCCCGGCACTGGCGTGCAGGAGAGGCGCTATTTGATCTACGACCTCATGATGCTTGACAGCATGCCGCTGGGGGATGTGAGTGGCGTGTTGGGTGTGATTGGTACATGATGGTCGTGTATGGTGATCGATGAGCTGCCCGGCACTGGCGTTCAGGACCGGCGCTACTTTATCTACGACCTCATGATGCTGGACAGTGTGCCACTAGGGGATGTGAGTCGATATCGGGACGTTGAGAGTGGTGCGTGGGGGTGAGAGTGTGACACATTGCACCACTGGCGTGCAGGAGAGGCGCTATTTGATCTACGACCTCATGATGCTGGACAGTGTGCTCCCTGCCGGGGGATGTGAGCCGAGATGGGGGGGTTGATAGTGGTGCGTGGGGGTGAGAGTGTGACACATTGCACCGCTGGCGTGCAGGAGAGGCGCTACCTCATCTATGATCTCATCATCTCATGATGCTGGATAGCGTGGTGTTGGGGGACGTGACTATTGTGTGGGGAGTGACTGTGGCACATAGCACTGGTTTCTGTGACACACACTGGCATGCAGGAGCGGCACTGCCTCATCTGTGATCTCATGATGCAGGATAGCGTGCTGCTGGGGGATGTGAGTGGGGAGGGTAAAGGGAGGGGCTAAGTTGAGAGAGGGGTGTGAGTGACGTGCGTGGTATTTTGGGGAACATGGTAGTGGAAAGGTCGTGCATGTGTGCACATGCGTGTCCCGCTCTTCTACTCCTCCGCTTTCCCTCTCACGATTTCTGTCCCTTGCTCCGTGCCTCCCCCCTCAGAGACCGTTTGCGGAGCGGTTTGATTTGATCGAGAAGGAGGTGGTGATGCCGCGCAAGATGGATGCTGCCATGAACCCCATTTATGACTACAGCATGGAAGACTTTAAGGTGATTGCTGATTGACAGTTTCAAGGTGATCGCAGGCTGACTGAAGGATATCAAGGTGAATGGATGGATGCAGCGATGAACCCCATTTACGACTACAGCATGGAGGACTTCAAGGTGAACGCTGATTGATGGGTTGCACATATAGCACTTGAACAGGTGCAGATGGTCGCAGTCATGCAAGATGGATGCAGCCGTGAACCCCGTGTGTGACTACAGCATGGAAGACTTCAAGGTGATTGCTTGCTGCTGAATGCAGTTGATGATTTAAGGTGTAGTTGGTTGCAGTCATGGAAGATGGACGCAGCGATGAACTTCGTGTATGTCACAGCGGTGAGCAGGGATGATTTCAAGGTGATTTTTGCGGGAAGGTTTGCTTGGTGGGTGCAGGCTGAACGTTCTGAAAGGTGAATGCAAAGGCGGAAGGTTTTAAGTCATTTAAAGGAGTTGAAGATGAGGTCAGCTGGGGAACTTTCAATGATTTGGATGCTCTATGACTCCACACGCCAAGTAATACCATGTGTAGAGTGCCATGTGTGAGTGACATTTGAGAATGCTAAAATATGCTCTATGACTCCTCACGCCAAGTAATATTATGTGCCGAGTGTTATGCACATGTGCATGCACGATGTGCCATGCGGCAAAATGTGTCACGCACTGCACATCATGCACCTGCACCATGCGCCCATGCGGGCATGGGGCATGCCGCATGAAACATGCCCCATGCCCAACACACGTTATGCCCACCAGCTGCAGCGCAAGGACCTTTACGTGTTCAGCACAGTGGGCAAGCTCATGCGCCCCGTGCCGATGGGTGTCCCATGCATGTCCCATGCTCCACGCCCTATTTACCATTCATGCCCCACACATGACTCCCACCAGGTGCGGCGCAGGGACTTTTACATGCTCAGCACGGTGGGCAAGCTGCTTTGCCTTTTTCCCATGCATGTCCCATGCATACCCCATGCACTATGCCCCAAACCCACTTGACCCCACCTGCGGCGCAAGGACTTGTTCATGGTCAGCACGGTGGGCAAGCTGCTCTGCCCCATGCCCCATGCCTTTTGCATCATGTGTGTCCGTGCCTTGTTTGTGCCCCATGCCTTGTGCATCATGTGTGTCCATGCCTTGTTTGTGCCCCATGCCCCACGTCACCAGGTGCGGCGCAAGGACTTCTACATGCTGAGCACGGTGGGCAAGCTGCTGCACGACTTCATTCCCAAGCTCAGCCATGAGTCCGATGGGCTCATTCTGCAGGTCAGTCAGTGAGTGAGTGACTGGCAACACAAGCAGGTGAGCTTGTTGCGAGTGGTCCTGCAGGCCTGCACTGTCACTTCCTCTCCTCGGATGCCTTTTTCTCCACCCAACACCTTGACTTGGTGTTTTGTTCAGCAAGTAGGTTGGTTGTTTAAGTGAGGAATTGAGGGAAGCACCTCTTCATCCTCGTAGTTCCAAGCGTCTGCTTCCTCAACACACAGCTGCTGTTTCCCACATCCCATCCCACGTCTCGTTTCCGCACTGCACAAAGGGATGGACTGGTGTGTATGCGCACTAGTGTCTGAGTTGACTCAAATCACGCTAGTTTGTCATCGCATACACACTAGTTTCCCAAACGCCACATTCTGCCCACGTTCTGCCCTCGCCTGCCCTTACATTGTTCTGCACCCTGCAGGGGTGGAACGACGCGTATGTGCCGCGGACGCATGAGGGCTTGCTCAAGTGGAAGTACGCTCACATGAACTCCGTTGACTTCTGCCTCAAGGTGCGTTGACTTCTGCCTCAAGGTGCGTTGACTTCTGCCTCAAGGTGCGTTGACTTCTGCCTCAAGATGGGTTGGAAGGACCAACCACAAACGAGGGACCAAAGTGGCAGAGCCAACCGATGGTCACTTGACTTGTGATTGGAGGCTCCACCACAAACGGGTGGAGTGGCATTCCATGGACGACTGTACACCCACAATGGGGTACGTGCCCAACTCAACTGTACATCACACTTGATGTACAGTCACAAATACTTTGCATGCTGCACAATATATTTTTAGCAGCTCCTGCTGACTCCTGCTGACTCTTGCTAACTCCTGCTGACCCTTAAGAACCCCGGCTGACTCCTGTTAACTGCTCGTGACTCATGTTGACTCTTCATTCCTGTTGTGTGCCGTGCAGAAATCACCAGACGGCAAGCGGGTGCTGCTGCTGTCAGACAGGAAGACGCTGCGGGCACTGCCAGTGCATCATCTTCCCCTCCCCTTCCCCCCCCCCCCCTCCTTCCTACCTCCCTCCCGTCTCCCTTGTGTGCTGTGCGGTGCAGAAGTCACCGGACAGCAAGTGGGTGCTGCTGCTGTCAGACAGGAAGACGCTGCGAGCGCTACCAGCAGCCAAGTTCACCCACCCTGGTCCGTGCCTCTCTCTTGCTATGCTCTCCTGCTCTCCTGCTCTGGACGCTCGGTGTAAAAAAGCGTTATAATAATGTCATAGCCGCGTCTCTTGGTCCAATCCACACTTCCGCTCCTCCATGCGAGTAAGGAGGAGGCAATTGAGTTGGAGGGCAAGCAAGTGGCGCTTTCAGAACGCTTCTCGCCTAAAGCCCCTCTCCGTTCTTTCTCTGCTGAGGAATGCGTGTGGAGGAGCGAACTCACTGGATAGGAATACCTTTGAGAATTCTTAAAATGCGTGCGGAGGAGCCAATGCGCTGGATAGGGAGATAGCGGGTTGCTGCTGAACCAAACTTCGAGTTCATTTATAAACACCCTCTTGCCCTAAGACCAACCAAACCACCCCCAACCTCTCTTGCCCCCCCGCCCCGTATCCTCTCCCTGCCCTTTGCATACCCTCCTTAGAGATGACTGAGGTGAGGAGGAGCGAGCTCGCTGGAGGGGAAGAGAGTGGAGTGCTGGTTGTGCCACAGCGTGCAGTTTCAGTTCTATTCGTTCAGTCATTCATAACGCTTCTCTTCGCCCCCGAAGCACACCCCCCACCTCCCCTCTCTCCTTTCCGGCCCCCCTCCCCTTCCTTCCCCTCCTGTAGGCATGAGTGAGGAGGAGGCGAAGGAACTAGAGGGCAAGATAGTGGAGTGCTGCTGGAAGAAGGACGAGGGCGAGTGGGAGTTCATGCGTGTGCGCACTGATAAGGAGCATCCTAATGCGTGGCACACGTACCTCAAGGTGATGCTAATTGATATTTGTGGCGAAGGTTTGTGTTTTTCCTGTTGTAGTATGAGGGCGAGTGGGAGTTGATGCGCGTGCGCACTGACAAGGAGCACCCCAACGCCTGGCACACGTACCTCAAGGTGATGCTTGCAGAATGTTATGGGTATTATGGTGTTAAGGGGGGGGTCGTGTGTGTGTGTGTGTGTGTGTGTGTGTGTGCGCGCGCGCGCGCGCGCACTGACAAGGAGCACCTGAATGCCTGACACACGTGTCTCAAGGTGATTCCTGAGGCTGTTGAATGCCTTGGTTAGCATGCACCTTGCCTTAAGGGAGTTTGTGCGTGTGCGCAGCGACAAGGAGCACCCCAATGCATGCGGCGCGTATCTCGAGGCAATTCCTGCTGATGGTTATGCGGATGGTGTGTGGGAGGAGATGAGGGTGCGCACCAACGAGCATTCCAGTTCGTGGCACACACACATGTATGCAAATGTGTGTGCGTGGGCCCTGCCCATTCCTGCAATGCCGCCGTCATGCCTCCCCTCACGGCAGGTGATGGAGAGCATTCGAGAACATCACGGAGGAGGTGCTGCTGGAGGAGGTGCAGAACATGTGTAGGAGGGAATGTGTGTGCTGTTACCTCCCCCCCCCCCCCCCCCCCCCCCCAGGTGATGGAGAGCATTCGAGACAACATCACGGAGGAGGTGCTGCTGAAGGAGGTGCAGAACATCCGCAGCCTGCCCGTGTACGAGGAGCATGAGAAGAGCGAGATGCGCCGCCTGCAGCAGCAGCGCCGCCACCACCACCCACACCAGCGACACCATCAGCAGCAGCAGCAGCGGCATCCGCCCCATCCCCAGCATCATCAGCATCAACATCACCACCAGCAGCAGCATCACGAGCAACAAAAAAGGGAGCAGGCGTAGCACTTGATGCTGGCATGCGCCATGGAATAAGGGGCTGCATGTGATGCTGGTGGTGGACGCACCGCCTTTCTGTTTTAGTGTCCCCCTTTCTCTCGTGCCCCTTTCTCCCACTTTTTCCTGTGCATTCATGTGTATGATATGAGTGATAACCGTGAAAAGTTGTGAATAAAGAAGCACTGTAAAATCGAGATTCATCAGGATCACGATCCACACCTGTTGCAAAAGAATGCTGGTTGCAAGTTATGTGTGGGTCTACAAGTCGTCTATATGATTTGTTAACACCTGCTAGTAAGCGAGTGATCTCATAACGAACTAATTGAATGGTAGAATCGTGACAGAGTAGCGTCGGTTGACGTGGCGCTGTGGGCACCACAAGTTCGTGAGAGTCGCAATCCACCGTGATGTGATATGGGCGAAAGTGACTTCGTCCACCTCGCCAATCGAGAAACCTGCTTGCGTCGGCTGTGTAACATTCGCTAAAAGTGTTCAGGCAGGAACAACAGAGTCATCAGCCGGCCCAGCCAATCAGATGGCAGCGACCTCGAATTCCCCACCAACCCGCCCTCCCTAAATTCTATCCACTTGCTACACGCCGAGTGAAGTTATTCTGAAACCAACTTCTTAGCAGTCGTTTCGCAATGGCTTCTCGTCTCCAGTCCGTCGCCACCACATCGTGCAGCGCTGTTACCACTTCGCCTGTCACGTCGACGGCGACGGGAACCGGCAGGTGCAATGCGGTCCACTCGTGTCGCCTCACCGCCAGTCCCGCCGCAAATCTCGCCGGGTCTGCCGCAGGATGTTCTTTCCAGCAACCAGTAAGCCCATTCGCTAGCCAGCTGTTCCGCGTTTGGCGGAGCCTCCGCGTGGCGGCAGCGCTCCGCTGCGCAGATTGCGGGGAATGCAGGAGGTTCGGTGCGCGAGGTTCGGCCAGGGATGGCATCCGTTGTCCGTAGTGCTCTGGTGCGTGCTGCCGCCAGTTCCGTGTCTCCGTAGCGCAGAGAATCCGGACGAACGCAAGTCTCAACGATTCTAATCGAGTCACAATCACGATTTACGATAAACCCAGTGCCGTCCGCTCCTCCTTAGCCTGGCTCTCACGGTCCCTTCTGTCGACCTTCTGGTGGGTAGCACAATGGAAGTTTCGCTTCTATTTCCGTCTTGAGAGCTCGGGGAGTAACTTCTGGGTGGGTTCGCACTGTTCAACAGGAGATGGGGGGGTTGTCAGAATCGCCTGAGAGTGCCTTTCGAGGTCTCTTGAGAGCCTGAAAACCGGCTTATCAGGAGTGCGGCATGTTGGAAATAGACCAACGCTTCTCTGCCATGCGACACTCACTCACGTTCAGCGCTCAGGTTCTTTCAGAGTTGTCTCCCAGTTCTCCGAGGGGTTTAAGCCTCATCACTTCCTCCCGCCTACCCAGCCAGCTCCTTCACCCTAGCCCCTCCATTCCCCGCCCACTCCGCGCGCTGCCCCCCCTTCTCTCCTCTTCCATCTTCGCTCTCTACTCTTCTCGTTCTCTCTTCCCCTATCAGGAGCCTTACGTCATCACGAAGCTAGACTCAGCTGAACGAACCTTCAAAGAACTTTCTGTGAGTCCCATTCTCCTTGCGTTCTATCTCTTCCCTCGTCGTCTTCCCATTTTTTCCCCCGTATGTCCCGTTGTCGTTGCTCCACTTGTTTCCACCTCCCAGGGTTTCTATCATCCTGCTTTTCCCCTTCCTCCTCCCCCCTTCCGCCCCCCCTTCCTTCCCATCCCACCCAACCATTTCCCCCCTTCTCTTTTCCCACAAGCCTTTCCCCTAACTCTTTTCCCATTCTTCCTCCCATTCTTTCCTCCCATTTTTTCTCACATCCCTTTCCCCCAATTTCTGCCACCATCCTTTCATTTTATCTGTTCCCCCCACCCGTTCTCCCCATCCTTCCTCCACCCCCCACCCTCCGTACACCCGCCCATCCCATGCATGCTCCACCACCAGATTCGGCTGGCAGATCCCGAGGTGGCGTCCAATGCGACTGAGTACATGCGCATTGCCAAGTCAGCCGGGGAGATTGAGCAGGTGAGGGCAAGGGAAGAGGAGGTTAGGGAGTGGGGGGAGGAGGTGAGGGGGAGAGGAGGTGAGGGGGAGAGCAGGTGAGGGAGTGGGGGGAGGAGGTGCGGGAATGGGGAGAGGAGGTGAGGGAGAGGGGGGAGGAGGTGACGGGATGGGGAGAGAAGTTGAGGTTGCGTCGAACGCGACTGAGTACATTCAGTCCAGTGTTGGTTTAAGGCGCCTCAGAAACATTTGCTTCTCCCTCCATCTCACATCCTCACCATCACTGGGCAGGTGGCGAGGGCCTATGAGGAGTGGAAGGACAAGCAGCAGCAGCTGGCTGACGCAAAAGGTGACAATAACGATTCCTGATGGTGCTGCAGTGAAGTGCAGTGCAGTGTGGTGTGATGCACATGTCAATGAATATGCTGTGATGTGAAGCATGCTGCCATATCACTCCCACCCCTGTGATCTTGTTTCTTTCCATCAATGCAATGCAATCATACCATATTATTCCTCTCACTCCATTTTCACTCCTTTCTACTCCATCCCCCTCGCCTACTCCCTCCCACTCCCTTTCACTCCTTTCTACTCCATCCCCCTCGCTTCGCATCAGCCCTAGTGAAGGGCAGTGCATCGGACCCAGAGATGGTGGGGGAGGAGGTGGGGGAGATGGCGGAGATGGTGGGGGAAGAAGGAGGTGCGCGAGATGGAGAATTAGACAGCTCACCTACTCCCCACTCATTTCCACTCCTTCGTATTCCCTCCCACTCCTCCCCACTCCTATCTTCAGCCCTAATGAAGGACAGCGCGTCGGACCCGGAGATGGCGGAGATGGCGGGGGAGGAGGTGGGGGAGGGGGGCTGGAGGCGCAGGCAGCTTACTCACTCCTGTTCACCCCTTTTCACTCCTTACTACTCCATCCCCTTCGCTTCGTATCAGCCCTAATGAAGGACAGTGCATCGGACCCAGAGATGGCGGAGATGGCGGGGGAGGAGGTGGGGGAGCTGGAGGCGCAGATAGAGGAACTGGAGGGGCGCCTCAAGGTGCTGCTGCTGCCCACCGACCCGCTTGATGCGCGCAACATCATGCTGGAAGGTGCGTGGATGTTGTTTAAAGGCATGTGGGGTGGGTTGGGGAAGAGGGAGAGGAAGAGGGGCGACTCAAGGTGCTGCTGCTGCCCACTGACCCCCTTGATGCAAGGAACATCATGCTGGAAGGTGGGGGTTGTGTTGTTTAAAGGCATGTGGGGAGGGGGAAAAGGGAGAGGAAGAGAGGAAGAGGGGCGACTCAAGGGGCTGCTGCTGCCCACCGACCCGCTCGACGCCCGCAACATCATGCTGGAAGGTGCGGGGTGTGTGCTGAAAGGAAGGGGTGTGTGTGTGTGATGTGAAAAGGAGGGTGAGAGGGGAGTACTGCTGCTGCCCACCAAACATCATGCTAGAGGGGGGCGTGCTGGGAGGTGCGGGTGTGCTTCTCCTCTCCATTCTCCTTCTCCTCTCCCTCGCCGCCTGTTTTCCATACTCCCCTCTCGCCCTCCTCCCTCTGCTCCCCTCTTTGTCCCGCAGTGGGGGCGGGCACAGGAGGGGATGATTTAAGCATCTGGGCAAGAAACCTGGTAAGCCGCATTTCTTACTCCCTCTCGCCCCTTCCCAACCCTTCTCCCCCTCCCCTTTTCCCTGTCCCTCACAACAGTGCGGGCGGGCACAGGAGGGGATGAAGCAGGCATCTGGGCAGGCGACCTGGTGAGTGCACTCATGTGGACTTCTGCTCTCTGCTGTGTTGACCGCCGTTGACTGCAGTTGACTCGCCTTGCCATGCTGATCCGCTCTGCAACTGCATGTGCAAGTAGGCAGTGCTGTGAGAACAGGTGTAGACAAGCCTGTCAATGAATAACTGAATCCGCAGCAGCGAGGTGACTTTTGAGTCGACTCAAAAGTCAACAGGTGTATACAAGTCTGTCAAAGGACCCTTGAGCATAACCGAATCCGCAGCAGCAAGCCCTGCATAGCGTGTAATGGAACGTCTCCTTTCTGAGCTCTGCTGCACTGCCGTTCACTGGACTGCACTATACCGCTCTGCACCACATTGATATGCTCTTACCCCTCACACGTGATGTCCTTCATATTTGGTTGGCAGTTCTTAGTTTTTTTGCTCTATATGCTGCCCCCTGTGCACCCATCTGCACCGCTCTCCACCAGGTGAAGATGTACAGTCGTTACGCGGACAAGAACGGATGGCGAGTGTCCCCTGTTTCCTGCACTGAGGTTCGTGAGGGAGTGGGGGAGGGGAGAGGGTGAGGCATTGTGTGAGGGGTGGAGCGAGAGGATGAGTGAGGGGATGAGCGAGGGAGGGAGTGTGGGAGTGAGGGAATGTGGGAGGGAGTGAGGGGATGAATGAGAGGGGATGAATGAGAGGGGATGAATGAGAGGGGATGAATGAGAGGGGATGAATGAGAGGGGATGAGAGGGGGTAATCTAGTACGTTGTTGCGGGCATCGTCTCGGTTCTAAGTGTATGTAATGGAGATAGTGCCGTGTGCCATTGTCACGAAGTGACTTTTGAGTCAACGAAAAACTCGTCTTGCATCGTTTCGGCTCAAAAGGTGATGGAGATAGCGGACGACGAGCAGAACTCAACCTAAAAAATGCGAGTGCTGGCTGTGGGGCACTCACACAATTCTCCCTCTCATCATCCTACTCTCCACAGGCGGAAATGGGAGGGTTCAAGGAGTACGTGACGGTGATAGTGGGCGAGCGCGTGAACAGCAAGCTCAAACCAAGAATGAGACTGCAGCTATACCTTGCAGGCAAAGTTCTCTTTTTTCTTCCTTCACCCCCTGACAGGCGGAGATGGGCGGCTTCAAGGAGTGCGGGATGGAGATAGCGGGCGAGCGTGTGTACAGCAAACTAGTGAAGCACTAGATTGCATATATACTTCGCAAACAAAGTTACCCCTCTCCTCCCTCCACCCTCCACCCTCCACCGTGCTCTTCCCCGTCCTTCTATGCTTCACAGGCGGAGATGGGTGGCTTCAAGGAGTATGTGATGGAGATAGCAGGCGAGCGAGTCTACAGCAAGCTCAAGTACGAGAGCGGTGTGCACCGCGTGCAGCGCGTGCCTGCCACTGAGTCTGCTGGCCGGGTGCACACCTCCACTGCCACTGTTGCTATTATGCCTGAGGTGAGAGAGGTGCAACAGGGAAAGGTGGGGGTACGCAGAGGTACATGGAGTGGCGTGCAGCGCGTGCCTGCCACTGAGTCTGCAGGCCGGGTGCATACCTCCACTGCTACTGTTGCGATTATGCCTGAGGTGAGCAGGGTGCAACGGGGAAAGGTGGGGGTAGGAGGTGGGAAAGGGAACAGGTAAGGCGAGCGGAGTGCAGCGCGTGCCCGCCACTGAGTCCGATGGCCGGGTGCACACCTCCACAGCTACTGTGGCAATTATGCCTGAGGTGAGCGGTTGGGAAGGGGAATGGGGGAGGAAGTGGGGAGGGGAGCAAGCAGGCACACAGTCAGGTGCACACCTGCACTACTACTGCTGCTGCTGCACTGCAAGGTTTCAGTCTCCCTTCCACCCCCTCCTTCCATCTCTCCCTCCCGCCCTCCCCCGATTACCCATCCCCCCACTGCGCGCAGAGAGACGAGGTGGGGGTGGTGATTGATCCGAAAGTCATCGAGCTCATGACAGCGCGGTCAGGAGGTGCAGGCGGGCAGAACGTGAACAAGGTGGAGACGGCTGCAGACCTGTTCCACAAGCCCACGGGCATCCCTCACTCTCTCGTCCCCCCTCCCTCTGCCTGCCCTTCATACAAACAGATAGACGAGGTGGAAGTGGTCATCGACCCCAAGGACATTGAATTGACGACAGCGCGGTCAGGAGGTGCAGGCGGGCAGAACGTGAACAAGGTGGAGACGGCAGCAGACCTGTTCCACAAGCCCACGGGCATCCGCATCTTCTGCACCGAGGAGCGCTCGCAGCTCAAGAACAAGATCCGCGCCATGCAGCTGCTGCGCGCCAAGCTGTGAGTGCTGGGAGGGGGGGGAGGGGGGGAGGGTCTGGGTCGGGGAAGGGCAGGTGTGGAAGAGGAGCGCTCGCAGCTGAAGAACAAGATCCGCGCCATGCAGCTGCTGCGCGCCAAGCTGTGAGTGCCATGCAGCTGCTGCGCGCCAAGCTGTGAGTGCCGGGGAGGGTGGAGATGTGCGGGTCGGTGGGAAAGCGAGGAGATGTTGAGAGAAGGGCTCATTGGAGCAGGAAGGCGAATCTAGTCATCTATTCTCACTCAGTTTCTTTCTCCCCTCTGTTCCCTCCTCTCTCACCCCCCCCTCCCTCACTCCTCCCACTCCCGCACAGCTACGAGCGCATGCTGCAGGAGCAACAGGATGAAGTCAGCTCTCGCAGACGATCACAGGTGGGATGAGTGCAGGTGGGATGAGTGCTGCCTAATGTGGCACGGCTGCTTTCCGTGGGCCTTTGGCACCTCCCTCTCTATGCACTCCTCGCCGCATTCCTCCGCACACCCCTCATCACCTTTCAGGTCCACTCTCCCTCCACCCCACCCATTTGTTTGTTAAGGCGCCTGAATATTCCTCACTCATCTTCATGCGTTGCTTTACTCGGAGACTGAGGCGCACGCAAACCTATGGCCTCTTGTGCCTTCCCTTGTTACTTGTCCGTCTCTCCTGGTCTGCTCCGCTGCAGGTCGGCACAGGCTCACGTTCCGAGAAGATTCGAACGTACAACTACAAGGTGCGCATGTGATGTGATGTGATGCTGGCTATGAGGTTTTGGCTCATGGTAGAAAATGAGGTGTGAACATACGGAAACCAGTGACGTCAACAACTCGAGCTTCCAAAGTGAGCCTAGAGAGTCTCGCCATGGCACCGAGGTCAACTCTTCTGTGCTCCCTGCATGGCATGCAGCTGAAGAAAGCCTTTCCCTGCCTCTCCATCCGTCAACACCCTCACCTCCCCTCCCCCCATCCCTCCCCCTTCCCCCCCACCATCAGGACAACCGCGTGTCAGACCATCGGACCAAGATCAACTTTGACCTCAACTCGTTCCTCAACGGGGATATTGACAACGCCATCCAGGTGACGACTCATGTCCTGCAACCATGTGTAAAAATGTACATACAACATGTATGTATGTAAGGCTAGCAGTGCCATTCTTTTAAGGTTGTCAATGCCATTCAGTCAAACCACCCCCCCTCTCCCCCCTCCCTCTCCCTGCCGTCACTGCATGTCATCAGTGGAGGGCAAACGCGGGGAAAGATCATCAAATGCCTGATCACCACTATCGTCCCCTCCCCCATTCCCTCGCTCCTGTCCTGCCCACCAGCAGTCTAAGTTCTCATGGGTCAGAGAGATCTTTCCCCTCCAATTCGTCTCGCTTCCTTACAGTAATCTCTTCCCCAACCTTCCCCCCCTCAATCCCCCTCCTCCATGGTGTCAGTGGCACACAAGGAAGGGGTAGAGGAGTTGGCAGCACACAATGAATCACTAGAGCACCTGTTCTTCAAGTCTTTCTGACTTTCTTTGTCCTCCACCTTTTTTTCCCCCTATTCCCTCCATGGTGTCAATGGAGCAGAAGGAGCACCGTACCTCTGACCAACTCTCTCTGGTGCTAATCCTCCTCCCCCCCTTTCCCTTCCCTGCCCCTACCAGTCCATGGTGGCGATGGAGCAGAAGGAGATGCTGGAGGAGCTTGCAGCGTCCGTGCAAACGACGGTCTGAACCTGACAGAGCCAGCTTTGACATTTAAAGGCAGAGGAGGACTCCTCTCTGAGAGTAGGGAACCAAGTCTCGAGCCTGTTTGTGACCTCTCATTTATCCAAGCGTGTAATCGAGTAGATCACACTAGGTCCGTTCCACAGCAACTGTTCTGTGATGTGATTGATTACCATGGAATGAGATCTTACGGTAGGTTTTTAATATATACAGTTTACCAGCGGATGATCCTTCTGATCTGGAGGTGATTTGCATGCTGGATGTTCTGTAGATATACTTCCATAACTGCTGAAAAGTAGGGTGCATTTCTATAATTGCTTACCAGTGACTTCTGTCGAGGCAATTTTTTAATGTGAACGCGGAGCTTATTGTAACGCGATCCAGGGCATTGCTGAAGTTTCGTCTCGTAGGGCGTGATTACATTGCACTTGCATCGAAAGGAACATGCGGAGCCTTTTTGTGTTCATGTGATCAAGTCAGGATTGCGATCTAATATAACATTTTAACATGTGATTAGGTCAGAAAACAAAGTTTGCTGGTTGGTTGGATGGATGATATTTTTTTTGCATCACAAACCTCACCATCGCCACCAAGAATACCAAAGTCCCGTACTTTTTGGAACCCAGAAACCCGCAAACCCGTCACAAGCATTTTGGTGGGTCGATAGAACATGCGGAACGGTAACCACCTACGGCCGATACAAAATCCCTTTACAGTGGCTTCTGGAACCCCGCACAATCTCGCCCTGAGTACGCCTTCATCCACTCCATACTGTATCTCACAGCAAGGCCCACAACATAAAAGTCAAGCTCACCAGGTTGTGCCAGTCTCAAACTGTTATTTACCTTTTTGCGACAACCAGCCATGGGCATTGGCTACCGTTTTTTTCCGCTCTAGTTTGTATACGTCTAGCAACCCACCTGCAGCTCCTGATTGGGAACAGAAGGACATGGGGAGAGCACGCAAGGCCCGGAAATACGCGGAGGTGAAACGGCTATTCAATCCTAAAGAGATAAAACAGTGAGTTGCATCCCTACGTTTGATCAGCAAAGGTACTTTGATCAGTGAGGCGGTTCTTCCCAGCGTAATATCAGACTGCTCGGCGTGCGTCGCATATTAGGCGCTTTCGCCGCTTCCTTAGCTCCTCCCGCCGTGCGGATTATGAATACCAGCAGCTCCTGGGCTGGACTGCTCCGTGTGGCCGCATCCGCGCGTTATTCCTCTTTCGTTTCCCGCAATCTTCTCATTACTGTAGCTTGTCGTGTGCGGCGGCACCTTTCGATGTTGGTGGCAAGTGGGCGGTGATTGCGACGCGCAAAGCCTGAGGGCCGCACGGAACGGTTGCGCCAACGCACGAGGAGGAGGGAAACAGAGAGAGATTTAGAGAGAGAGTGAGTGAGAGAGCGCGGGATGGACAGGACGGCGATTAATTCTAAAAAAAAATCGAGAGTGATAAACCTTAATTTCTTTAAACCCCGTGGGAAAGGGGATAAGATACAAGCTTGGCGCGGGGCACACATGCGTGTGCGTGCTCGTCGCGTGTGTGCGACTGTTGAGTAGAGACTCAGCAGTCATCTTGGGCGTGACGAACATGCGTGCGTGTGTGCGTGCGTGTGTGCGTGCGTGCGTGCGTGCGTGCGTGCGTGCGTGCGTGCGTGTGCTTGTGTGCGGTGCTGTGCGGTGGGCAGGTATCGTAAGGACGTGCTGGACCCCAAGAAGCCGGACACCGAGAAAGATAAACTTCCGCGAAATGTGTAAGTCGCGTTGTGCTGACGGTGGTGATGGTTCTAACGGTGGTGATGGTGGTGATGGTGGTGATGGTGGTGATGGTGGTGATGGTGGTGATGGTGATGATGCTGACGGTGGTGCTGATGTTTGGAATAAATGGAAGATGCCTGTCCGTACATAGTATCCGTTTTTGCATTAGAGTATGACAACTTCCAAAGAATATGTTGCACCAGAAACCCTACCACCTGTAATTTGGTCTGTCATGGATTGTAAACCCTAATGCTTGAAATTCCCATCTGATCTCCGTCCTTCTGTAAAAAAATCTCACTCTGTCGCGCACTCTCCACATTCACTCGCACATGCACGCACCTCCCGTTCTGTCCGCCCCTCTCACACCCTCCCTCTCGTCCTCCTCTTCCGTCACGTCTCCCTACATCGCTGGCTTGTTCCATTTCTCCTCCCATCCCATGTGTGTGCCGTGTGGCATGCGCCATGTAACGCGTGGTTATGGTGGTCCATGTGTCACGGCACAGGCCCAACGTGTCATCAGCGCTGTTCTTCAAGCACAACACGGCGCTGGGTCCGCCGTACCAAGTGCTCGTGGATACCAACTTCATCAACTTCACCATCTCCAACAAGGTGTGCCCCCCCCCCCCCCCCCCCCCCCCAAAAGCCCTGTCCAGTGCACTCAAAGGTCGGCCTTCCTCCCCACTTCATGCCATGCCAATTTCAGTCCGCTACAATGTCGCGTTTTCACCTTGTCGCACGTTGCGTTGGGCACATCTGAGTTGACGTTCCTGCACCGCGCTATTTGCCGCTGTCATTGCTGCATGCTGCTGCTGCAGGGCGCCGTTGATGCATCGGATCATCTCTCACACGTTTCCCTCCCACACATGGCCTTCTCGATACAAGACCATCTCCTTCCGTCCGTGCTGCCCGTTCACTCTCCTGACTTTCCATCTCTTTCCCGTGATTTTATCCCCGTCCTTCCTGTTCGTGTGTGCCCTCCTTGGCGACATGTTGGTTGTGCCCGTGTGCGTTGCCGTGCGCGTTGCCGTGTGCGTTGCTGGTGCGCGTTGCTGGGGCCATCATGCCGGGCTGGGCACATGAGCAGCTTGATCTGGAGAAGGCCATGATGGACTGCCTCTATGCCAAATGTCAGTTCTTTCATTCCGCCGCACTGCCCATAATCGCCCATAATCGCCCATAATCGCCCATAATCGCCCATAATCGCCCATAATCGCCCATAATCGCCCATAATCGCCCATAATCGCCCATAATCGCCCATAATCGTCTCATGTCTCCCGTCTCATGTCTCCCGTCTCATGCTCTCCCATCTCATGCTTTCCCATCTCATGATCTCCCGTCTCATGATCTCCCATCTCATGCTCTCCCATCTCATGCTCTCCCATCTCATGATCTCCCGTCTCATGATCTCCCATAGTATCTCGTGATCTCCCATGATTTCTTGTGGCCGTTAAACTCCATCTCCCATGTCACAGCTGACTCTCTCCAGGTTCAATTGTTGCATGCGTGCACTCGACGGTTATTTCTGTTCATTACATCGTCCCTCCACGTTCCAACCTCCATTGCTCCAACTCTTCCGCTCGTTGCCTCATCCCATTGTGTGTGTGTGCGTGCGTGTGGTCCCCTGTGTGCATGGGCATGGGCATGCATGGGATCGCAGGCACGCCATGCATAACGGACTGTGTGTTGGCGGAACTGGAGAAGCTCGGTCAGATGTACCGCGTCGCGCTCAGGTCCTGCCCTCCCCCCTGTCCTCCCCCCTGCCCTCGCCCCTGCCCTCCCCCCTGTCCTCCCCCCTGTCCTCCCCCCTGCCCTCGCCCCTGCCCTCCCCCCTGCCCTCCCCCCTGCCCTCCCCCCTGCCCTCCCCCCTGCCCTCTCTCTTTCCCTCCCTCCTGCCCTCCCTCCTGCCTTCCCCCCTGCGCTCCCTCCTGCCTGCCCTCCCTCCTGCCTGCCCTCCCTCCTGCCCTCCCTCCTGCCCTCCCTCCTGCCCTCCCTCCTGCCCTCCCTCCTGCCCTCCCTCCTGCCCTGCCTCCTGCCCTCCCTCCTGCCCTCCCTCCTGCCCTCCCTCCTGCCCTCCCTCCTGCCCTGCCTCCTGCCCTGCCTCCTGCCCTCCCTCCTGCCCTCCCTCCTGCCCTCCCTCCTGCCCTGCCTCCTGCCCTCCCTCCTGCCCTCCCTCCTGCCCTCCCTCCTGCCCTCCCTCCTGCCCTCCCTCCTGCCCTGCCTCCTGCCCTCCCTCCTGCCCTCCCTCCTGCCCTCCCTCCTGCCCTCCCTCCTGCCCTCCCTCCTGCCCTGCCCTCCTGCCCTCCCTCCTGCCCTGCCTCCTGCCCTCCCTCCTGCCCTCCCTCCTGCCCTCCCTCCTGCCCTCCCTCCTGCCCTCCCTCCTGCCCTCCCTCCTGCCCTCCCTCCTGCCCTGCCTCCTGCCCTCCCTCCTGCCCTCCCTCCTGCCCTCCCTCCTGCCCTCCCTCCTGCCCTCCCTCCTGCCCTCCCTCCTGCCCTCCCTCCTGCCCTCCCTCCTGCCCTCCCTCCTGCCCTCCCTCCTGCCCTGCCTCCTGCCCTGCCTCCTGCCCTCCCTCCTGCCCTCCCTCCTGCCCTCCCTCCTGCCCTCCCTCCTGCCCTGCCTCCTGCCCTGCCTCCTGCCCTGCCTCCTGCCCTGCCTCCTGCCCTGCCTCCTGCCCTCCCTCCTGCCCTCCCTCCTGCCCTCCCTCCTGCCCTCCCTCCTGCCCTCCCTCCTGCCCTCCCTCCTGCCCTCCCTCCTGCCCTCCCTCCTGCCCTCTCTCCTGCCCTCCCTCCTTCCCTCTCTCCTGCCCTCCCTCCTGCCCTCCCTCCTGCCCTCTCTCTCCTGCCCTCTCTCCTGCCCTCTCTCTGACTGCCCTCCTCTTGCCGCCCACCCCGTCACACCCTCGTCCCTTGCACCTTACTCAGATGCACACCTTCTTCTACCACACTTTACGCACACACTCCATCTCCTTTCTTGCACCTCACACACGCTCCACCTCATCTCTCAGGTCTCGGTTCTGACCACAGGAGGGTAAAGGCTGAAAGGGTGCACACAGGAGGCTGTATTGCAAGTGTGTTGAGTTGTAGAAATGCATAGGAGGCATATACAAGGCAGAAATGCTAGTGCCTTGTGATATCACAAATTTCCACTCCACTGCTCATGTCTATGCTGCTCTGATGGCCCTCCCTCACTCACTAGCACATCTCTTCCTTCCCACCCTTCCCTCCACCTCTCTCTCACTCCCTCTTTCCCCTCTCCCGTTGTGCTTGCACGTGCAGAATAGCCAAGTCACCGTCGTTTCTCCGCCTGCCATGCAGCCATGCCGGCACATATGCAGACGACTGCCTCGTGCAGCAAGTCACTCAGGTGCGCATCAGTTGTGACGCCCAATACCTCAGACACACGCCCGCTGCTACACACAGACGTCCACAACCCAGGTCCTATCATTGCCATGCAGCCATGCAGGCACATATGCCGACGAATGCCTCGTGCAGCGAGTCACTCAGGTGCACATCAGTAATGACGCCCAATACAAGCACCTGCACTAGCATCCTTGATGTGTGCTATACCACCACCATTCATTCTCACTCCAACATTCTACCTTCTACCTTTTACATTCTACCTTCTACCTTCTACCTTCTGCCTTCTGCCTTCTACCTTCTACCTTCTACCTTCTACCTTCTACCTTCTACCTTCTACCTTTTACCTTCTGCCTTCTTCCTTCTGCCTTCTACCTTCTACCTTCTACCTTCTGCCTTCTTCCTTCTGCCTTCTGCCTTCTACCTTTTACCTTCTGCCTTCTGCCTTCTGCCTTCTACCTTCTACCTTCTACCGTCTACCACACCTTCCCTCATTTCTTCCATCCTGACTGTCATGGATGGCTTCGACATTCCGTTAAGAGTTGTGCTTGTTTTCGTTGCTTTCTCTTGCTGTGCCTCCCATCCACTTTCGCGCCCGTCCTCTCTTCCCATTCAGGCCTTCCTTTGCCGAATTGCTGTGCTCCAATCCCTGTTGTGCCTGCCTGTAAACCTAACATGTCTCCCCTGCCCCCGTGTCCCTGCTCTTTTCCCCCTGTCCCCGTGTCCCTGCCCTTCCCCCCCTGCCCCCTTGCCCCTGCCCCCTTGCCCCTGCCCCCTTGCCCCTGCCCCCTTGCCCCTGTCCGCTTCCCCTCTTGTGATGCGCAGCACAAGTGCTACATCGTGGCCACGTGCGATCGTGACCTCAAACGCCGCATCCGCAAGGTGAGAGCTTTTTGTGCACTCGAGCACTGGCATTGCATGCACACACCCACTCCTGCACAGACACACACACACGCGCACTCGCACACACACACGCTCGTGCACTCGCACACACACCTACTCACGCACACGCACACGCACACACACACACACACACACACATACACACACCCGCGCGCTCGCTCGCACGCACGCACGCACGCGCGCGGGCACACACACCTACTCACTCACACACACGCCACACACTCACACCTACTCTGGCACACACGCACACACACCTACGCCGGCCACATGCACACGTACGCACTTTTTTTCGGTGCACACGAATGCACACACACCTTCTCCACCCGCATGCACACATATATACACAATTAATATGGTGAAAACGCATGCACCGCCCACATGCACACATACACATTCCGTTGAACACGCACGCACATACACCTACTCCGGCGCACGTCACGTACGTAACATGTGCATTGGCCGTCTCTTTCCCGCCCTTCCTCCCCTTCCAACCCTCTCCTTGCAGGTGCCAAGTGTGCCCGTGGTGTACATTGGCCATCTTCCGTTCCCCCATCCTCCTCCTCTCCAACTCCCTCATTTACCCCCTTTCATCAATCTGCAGTGCCCATGATGTACGTAACGCAGCGCAAGTACTCCATCGTTTCATGCTTGAGGTGGCTAAAGCATTTTCATTCCCCCATCCCCTCTCCCCCCCCCTCGCAGGTGCCGGGAGTGCCCATAATGTACATAACACAGCGCAAGTACTCCATAGAGCGCATGCCTGAGGCCACCATTGGCGGAGGTACCATCGCCTCACACCCTTCCACGCTCTCCCACGCCCTCCCACACCCTCCCACGCCCTCCCACGCCCTCCCGCGCCCTTCCACGCCCTCCCTCACCCTCCCTCGGCCTTCACAACATCCCACAGTCTAGCACGCCCTCCCATGCCTTCGCAACCCTCACCTTCGCTGTGCCTGTTTCCTTCTCGCACCTGTGTGAGGGCCTTGCCTTTCGAGTTTGTGCATGTCGCCAGTGGTTGTGAGTTGACTCAAAAGTAGCCTTCTCGCACCTGTGCGAGGGCCTTGTTTTCCGGGTTTGTGCATGTCGCCAGCTGTTGTTCCATTTAGCATGCCTGTTTCTCACACATGCTTCCATGTTTCTCGTCTCCCCTCTGCTCCATGTGATGTGAACCGAACACCCTTCCATCCATCCCCCTTCCATCCACCCTCTTTTCATTCATCCCCTTTTCACTCATCTCCCTTCCCCCCACAACCCACACCCCAATGCATGCGCAGCTCCTCGCATGTAGACCTGCACGCGCCATGTGCCATCTGTTATGTGTCCCCACCTTCTCGTCATCATTACGCAGCAGAGACGGAGGCCGCGGCAGCATCAGTGAGCGCACCCTTTCCTTGACTTGCCTGAAGGCATTTACTGAAACCTTGTGCTCATGGCGGCGGCAAATATTCAGGGGCAGTGAATGATCGCTGTTTGGAATTCTTCGTCACAACTGTATATATGAAGAAGTGCCTAATATCATGCTAACCTGGATCTAAGCGCCCTGCGCTTATAATGAAGCAGGTTTTGATAAGTACCGTAATATCCCGTATATAGGTCCCTCCAGTTTAAGAGTCCCATGTGTCTTCTATGCGGGGGTGGTACTCGAATAGAAGACCAATCTGTGAGGACCCCCTTCTTTTTATATCGAACATTCGAAAATAGAGGAGGTTCAATCAGGCATATCGGACGTATGCGAAGTTGCATGGGTTTCAAGGGTTATCCTAAACGGAGAACTGTATAAAAAGAGAACTGTCATTGTTTCTTGGGGCAGAAATTGTTTCTTGGGGCAGAAATTGGAAGTGGAACTGAAAGAAATTGTTTCTTGGGGCAGAGGTTCGTGCGGCTGGCGAAAGTGAATGGAGTACGCCAATCACCCCTTTGGCGGCGAGGGGAGGTGTTGCGTGTGTGCGCGGCGTGCAGACGATGCATTTGTTGCCCGCACGAATCCTTTCGCGAGTCCCTCCCACAGCTGCACTCAGGCCGGTCAACGACAAGCTTTCTCTGGTTGTTACCTGGCTGGTGGGGCACGATGGCCACTGTGTGTTGGACTTCGGCTGACTGGGACGTGAGCGAGCGACCTCAATTGACCCGCGTCATAAATTTGTACCATTCCCTCTCAGCACAGACAATACTTTCCCGGTCAGACATTTTGTACCCGCATCGCATCTCGATTCCCGACGAGTTACGGGGCGCGTTCAGCATGGGCGGGGAACTGGCTCGTGTGACGTGTCGAGAGTTTGTGAGCGACGGATTCTGGCTGCGACGGCCCCAGCCCATGTTTGTGCGGGGAAGTGACGGACAGGGAATCCCTTGTCAAACACTAAGACGTCAATGAAAACGTCGCCAATCCTCTCCCCGATTCGCCTATCAGCTTCTCACAGGAAAAAACGTTCGTAGCACATCTCCCCCTCGTTCTCCCGCGCTGCCAAACGCCTTCAGCCTCCATGACTCCCGCCGCTTACCTGCAAGCAAATAATGCATTCGTCCAGCATCACTCGCGCAAGTCCCCGCAATTATCGGAACCTGGTGTGCGCGAGCTCGAATGGAACACCTGTACTAGAGCTGGAAACCTATTCGCCTTGCGCCCCAAACGCAGATTTTAAGTTCCGCCTCGTCGAATGCATGGCCAGCCTAACGTGTTTGACTAGCCACGCTGGCGCCTTCCGTCATCGCCTCCGCCCCTCCCAAAACTCGTTCCTTCCCCCGGCCATGAAAGGCAGAGATCATATAATTGTGGCCACTGAGTGGCCTTACTCATATAAAAAATCAACTCTCCTAATGTCGCGCCGCAAGTCATGCTGGTGTGTGTGCGAGCGAGTTGCTGGCACTACTAGTGCTAGTTGTGCTATAATCGTAGCGCCGCAAGTCACGCTGGTGTGTGCGAGCGCGCTGCTGGTACTAGTTCTATAATTGTAGCGCCACATTGCGCCCCGTCGCGCCGTCGCAAACGAGTCGGAGTTTGAATCCGCCTCGTCCAATCAGAATGGCGCGTTTGACGAGCCCCCCGCTGTCAGCGCGGCCCGTGATCTACGCCCGCAACTCCTTTCGCGCGCTCTTCCCTGCGTCCATTGGTATTATTCAACACGAATCGCCGACTAGTAGTCTCAATGCACGTTTTCAGGCCAGCGCAGCTGCGGTCCCTTCCCCCCCTTCCCCCTCCCCGCAGCGCTTTAGTCAGATTGAAATTATTGTACTAAGAACAATAAATCAGTCTGTGCACCCACTCACTCACATGTATAAATCGACACTGGGAGTCCCTAGTCACATTCAAGATGTTCGCTCATTTGAGTGCCTTCTTCTCCTCCCTTCTGAGTCGCACCGAGTCCCATCAAACTTTAAATCACCTCACCTCCTCTCGACCACCAACGACGTGATCTCACTGATTCGCGGAGCAAGAGTCGCTGAAGCCAATTGTCATCGCGCCGCTGTGATCGCTAACTACCGTTTGCTGTCGCCATGAAGCCCTACGGGCGGTCTCCTGCCGTCATGAAGCCCTACGGGCAGCGCCGGTCTGCCCTGCAAGTCGGTCTCGCCGCCTTCGTGTCGGGTCTCGTTGCGATCAGCTTCCTCGCGACACACGCCAGCGCTCAAATCGGTGAGTCTTCCTCGCAATTAGTAGCAGAAGGCCGCGGCACACCACCGGCAGGTGCATGGCGCCCACTGCTTCTCCCTCTTTGCTTCCCGCGCGCTCTTTATTTTACCTGCTTGCTTCGCCGCAACTCGCTTCTCACCCACATCTTCTCACCCCACTCTCAATCTTTAATGTCTTGTTTCTCAAGCTCAGCCTCAGTCGTTGTCCGTCCGTTGTCCGTTGTCCAGCTATACGGCTGAGTGCTGGGATGTTGGCGAGGGCCGGACTGTGGGTGGGTGTGACGTCATAAGCAATATCTGTACTTACCCCTAATCCTTACTCTGCCTTGGAACCACCCATGATTTCCTGTGCAGACGATTGCGGTGGCATTTGTGGGACTGATGCTGACTGCGTTGACAATGGTCTTGGCGACGGTGTGTGCCAGTGCAAGGACGGTTCTGCCTTCAACAAAGTTGACTATTCATGCGGCGATGGTGCTGTGGGTAAGTGCTGGGATGCTGGCGAGGGACGGAGTGAGGGTGGGTGTGACGCCATTAGCGAAATCTCTGCTCACCCCTAATCCCTAATCTGCCTTGGAACCACCCATGATTTCCTGTGCAGACGAGTGCGGTGGCATTTGTGGGACCGATGCTGACTGCGTTGGGAATGGTCTTGGCGACGGTGTGTGCCAGTGCAAGGACGGTTCTGCCTTCAACGCTTTTGACTATTCATGCGGCGATGGTGCTGTGGGTAAGCGCTGGGATGGGATGTTGGCGAGTGACGGAGTGTGGGTGGGTGTGACATCATTTGCAAAATTTCTGCTCACCCCTAATCCCCAATCTATGTTGAAACTATCCATGATTTCCTGTGCAGACAAGTGCGGCGGCATTTGTGGGACGGATGCTGACTGCGTTGTGAATGATGTTGGCGACAATGTGTGCCAATGCAAGGACGGTTCTACCTTCAACGAAGTTGACTATACATGCGGCGATGGTGCTGTGGGTAAGTGCTGGGATGCTGGCGAGGGATGGAGTGTGGGTGGGTGTGACATCATTTGCAAAATCCCCTATGCTCACCCCTATTCCCTAATCTACCTTGAAACTATCCATGATTTCCTGTGCAGACGAGTGCGGCGGCATTTGTGGGACGGATGCTGACTGCGTGGTGATTGGTATTGGCACCGGTGTGTGCCATTGCAAGGACGGTTCTGCCTTCAATGACGCTGACTATACATGCGGCGATGATGTTGGGGGTAAGTGCTGGGGTAAGTGAGGGTCCAAGTGTGGGTGGGTGTGACGTCATTAGCAAATTTCTGCTCTTTTGAAATAAGAAAGGCATTTCAGCTTGCAACGTTGCTATTACTACAAACACAATATTCCACCAGAACTCGGACTTGATCGTTTCTTCTCTCACACCCCGCACCTCCGCCCCTGTTTACTCCCTCCCTCTTTCTTCAAACCCCCAACATCACCACACGACACACAACGGCCACGATACGGCATCAGCCTCCCTCCTCCAGACGACAGTGCAGGTGCAGCTACAGGTGAAGGAGAATGGTCGGCCGCGCAGCTACCCGGAGAACGTCCAGTTCAGCACAGACGGGCCGGCAGAGCAAGCCAGTGGCAGCACCGCCTGCACCGACCTCACCTCCAGCTTGAGCCTCCCCGGCGACACCCAGATCAGCGTCCAGTGGCAATCCTACGGCCTTCAGGGGGCCGGCAACGGCATGTGCAAGAGCGTTTCGTTTTACAGCAACCCGGGCTGCACGGGCAACCCGGGCCTCAAGATCCCGCGTCCTGCAAAGGATGGTGGCTCCTACCACAACACAGACAGGTGTGTGAGTGTGCTGCACTGCACGCCACGTCATGTGTGGCTTTGTCTGGTGTGGTTCTAGCGTGTCTGAGGGAAGAACAAGCATTCCAATCAACGATATCCGTTTTCCACGTCCTAGTGTGAAAGGCGCAGGAACGTCACAACGCATTTACCCTCATCTGTGCTCTTCGTGAATACCTTTCCCCCCTCTCTCAGGACTGTCAAAGCGACGGATTTGCCAAAATCAGTTGGCTGTGAGATCAGTAAGTTCGAGCACGTGTCTCTTAAGTTTGAGAAACTTCCTTGAAACCCTTGCACACAACTCTGTTAATACCGATATCGTAAAAGTGATCAAACACAACTTTAAGGCACGTTAGGTGAAGATGCAGATGCACATGCACGTTAGCCAATGCCTGTTTTGATCCCTAGAAATCTTTCTCACCCACGTTAGCCTATGCTTGTTCTGATCCCTAAAACTCTTTCTCATGCACGTTAGCCTGAATATGCGTAACTGCTTGCCCCTCCGTTTCTGGTGCCCACAACAGCCACGTGCCACAAGGACTGCGGAGCTGCTGAGTGCGTTGTGAAGGACGGCCAGCCCCAGTGCCAGTGCCCCTGGGGCTACATGTTCGATGCAGCACAGAAGATCTGCAGTGATAAGACCTTCAATCCTGGTACGTCCAGTATTGAATTCTTGCCAACATTTAAGAGTTAGACCAACCCGCCTCTCTCGCATGCCTCTTGTCGCCCTGGCAGGCTGATGCTTCTCTAATTGCTTCCCTTCTCTACTTGCTTCCCTCCTCTACCCATGGCAGCTGACAACCCTTGCAAGACGGGCACACTGAAGTGCGACAAGAACTCCATGTGCGTTGTGAAGAACGGGCAGGGGACGTGCCAGTGCAACACCGGCTACACCAAGACGAACGGCTTCTGCACTGGTGAGCTCACCAGGGGGTCTACTTAAGGCTGTGTTTCAAAAGCTGTTGAGGTCAAGAGGTGAGGTCACCAGGGGGTTAGGTACACTGAAAGTGATCATGGTGCTTCAACGTGAGTTGAGCTTGAGAGCTCATGGGTGATGTGTGGCTTCTCATGGGTGTTGTGTAGCATCCACTTGTTCCTCCTCCTTCCAAGCACTCCTCAAGTCCTCTCCCCTCTCCCCTCTCCCCTCTCCCCTCTCCCCTATCCCCCACCCTCCACCTCCCAAACACGCCAGCCATGTGCAAGCCGGCCTGCCCTGCTCAGGCACAGTGCACGGTGGTGGGAGGGAAGGCGATTTGCCAGTGCAAGGCGGGGTTCAAAATGGATCAGGGCTCGCGGCAGTGCAAACGTAAGGGAGAGATAGCGTATCGGTTGCTTTTTGCAATGCGTACTTCGAAGCTGCACTCTCAATTATTGTGTTATTCATCCACACCCACCACCGCTCACCTGCATGCATGTACAACACTATGTGTTCCCTTCCAACCGTTCACTCTCATACAAGCCAATCCTTACCCTACTCATCCTCCATTCTTCCCGACCCCTCGCCCTCCACCGTTTCATGTGGCAGCTGCATGTTCACCTGCCTGCCCCGATAATGCCCAGTGCAAGACGTGGCTTGGAAAGGCGCTGTGCCAGTGCAAGCAGGGGTTCAAAATGGATAAGAGCAAGAACAAGTGCACACGTAAGAGAGAGAGAGAGAGAGAGAGAGAGAGAGAGAGAGAGAGAGAGAGAGAGAGAGAGAGAGAGAGAGAGAGAGAGAGAGAGAGAGAGAGAGAGAGTCTCTTTTTCTGCCTTTCTTCCATCCCAACCGTCTACTCTCACGTATGCCTTCCCTGTCAACCCTGCTCATCCTCCAATCCTCATACCTCCCACACACCCTTTTTCATGTGGCAGCCAAATGTCCGACCGCCTGCCCCGAAAATGCCCAGTGCAAGATGGTGCAAGGAACGCCGCAGTGCGAGTGCAAGCAGGGGTTCAAGATGGATAAGAGCAACAACAAGTGCACACGTAAGGGAGAGAGACAACTTATCCTTTCCTTTCTGCTTTGATAAGTTGAAAGCTATGACAGCTCGAGCGATCTTATGCTCATCGCCCTCTCTCACAACCGCTGAATCCCATTCCAACCGCCGCCTCTCATGCATGCCTTCCCTGTCCATCTTGCTCCTCCTCCAATCCTCCCACCTCCCGCACACCCTCGTTTTTCATGTGCCAGCCAAATGTCCGACCGCCTGCCCGGATAATGCCCAGTGCAAGATGGTGCAAGGAACGCCGCAATGCCAGTGCAAGCAGGGGTTCAAGATGGATATGAGCAAGAGCAAATGCACACGTAAGGGAGAGAGACAGCGTGTGCTCTTCTTTCTGCCTTTCTTTTATCCCAACCGTCTACTCTCTCGTATGCCTTCCCTGTCAGCCCCACTCATCCTCTAATCCTCACACCTCCCGCACACTCGTTTTTCATGTGGCAGCCAAATGTCCGACTGCCTGCCCCGATAATGCCCAGTGCAAGATGGTGCAAGGAACGCCGCAGTGCCAGTGCAAGCAGGGGTTCCAGATGGACTGGAACAAGAACATGTGCACACGTAAGGGAGAGAAACAACTCATGCTTTCCTTTCTCTTCTACCTGTTTGAAAGCTATTTCACCTTAAGTAATCTTATGCTCTTTGCCCTCTCTCACAATTTCTGAATCCCATTCCAACCGTCACTTCTCATGTATGCCTTCCCTGTCAACCCCGCTCATCCTCCATTCCTTGCATCTGCCGCACACCCCAGGTTTCAATGTGGCAGGAAAATGCCCGGCTGGCTGCCCCAATAATGCCCAGTGCAAGATGGTGCAAGGAACGCCGCAGTGCCAGTGCAATCAGGGGTTCAAGATGGACTGGAGCACCAACAAGTGCAAACGTAAGAAAGGCAAAGTGTGCTTGTTTTTGTCTCTTCCCTTCTTCCACATGCATATACGCTGCCTGTGTGCTTCTATATCACCCATTTCTCCACTCGACTATACAACAAGTCATGGCTTCACCATCCACATTCTCTTTGTTTGTTGTTCATCCCATTCCATCCTCCCTCTCTTTGCATCTTAGCGAGCTGATCGTGCTCACCACGTGGGGGCTGGTTCCACGTGAGCGGCCCTAGTTGGATGGACACGGGGCGAGGAGGTGCTAGCTGGCAACACAAGGAGGAACGGCAGATTGGCGGGGGCTGATGGAGCAGAGGTGCAAGCAACTGCATGCGGTTGTTCGGAGGCCAGGAATAAATGGCTGATGGTGTCGGAGTTAACAGACAGGGAATGGTTGAACTAACAGAGAAATCAGTACAAATAGCAAACCCTAGAATTGTGTACCCCATATAGGCTAACCCACTGTAGCCTAACAAACCCAACATATATAATGTTTGACACACCCCCATAGGCAAAGTGGGGGAGACCTAGGGGTCACAAGACCAGTCAAGGCAAAGCAAGGCAACAACAAGCTCAGGGTGGATCTCGAGGATTCCACACAAATTCCGAGCACAAGCTAGTGGTCACAAGACCAGTTCACATGCAGGTTTATAACAGAGTCAGAGATACAGTGATCACAACCTAGCAAGAGTAAACATGCAGGTATAGATATATATAGTGATCACAGTACAAGCAAAGTCAAGAGGTAAGCAAGTGAGGTCCAGTAGGCACAAGGCCTAGTAGAGTGCAGAAGCGCTGATGGTCACGAGGCTGAAGCGCCTTGGTGAACACATCAGCAGTGTTGGCCTCAGTGGCCACGTAGCGAATACAAAGCTGACCGCGCTGCTGCAGCTCTCGAGCAAGGAAGTACCGCAGGGCGATGTGCTTCGTTCTGTGCTCCAGTCTGTGCTCCTCACACAAGGCAATGGCAGCCTTGTTGTCGACGTACAGTACTGGAGGAGAACGAGGCGGCTCTCCGAGGTCAGTCAGCAGGTAGGTCAGCCAGCGTAGCTCCTGGGCAGCCATGGCTGTAGCGTAGATCTCAGCCTCGCAACTGGAGCTGAGAACAGAAGAAGAGCGTGTAGAGCGCCAAGAAACTGAGCCAGAGCCAAGGCTGAAGGTGTAACCCTGAGACGACCGCTGAGTGGCCTGGTCGTCTGCCCAAGAAGCGTCTGAGTGCCCTGTGAGCACAACTCGGTCTCGCCCTCCAAGCACAAGTCCCATGCCCGACGTATTGCACAAGTAGCGCAACACCCTCTTAGCGGCATCCATGTGCTCCTTCCTGTGACGGCCAGGAGCGACATAGCGTGCAAGGATGCTAAGAGGGTATGCAAGGTCAGGTCGAGTGCAGGTCATCAGGTACATGAGGCAGCCCACAAGCTCTGGATACGGGCCACTCGGCTCTACGGACTCATCCGAAGGCAGAGCTGAGAGCGAGTGACCGGTAGGCAGAGGAGTGGACTGAGGCGAGGAGTACGTGAAGCCGAAGCGCTGGAGAACCTGCTGCACCATGTGTGACTGAGTCAAGGTGATGGTGCGCTGTGCTCTGTCCCGGGTGATCCGCAAGCCAAGATAGCTTGTCAGCTCACCCAGGTCTGTGCACGTGTGTCTCCTCTGCAGCTCCGACTTCACGTAGGCGAGTCCTGCAGTGTCAGCAGTGGCAAAGACCAAGTCGTCGACGTACACGAGGATGTAGAAAGGCGGCAGTGAAGTGTCGGTGCGCAGGAACAGCGACGGGTCAGCTGTAGAAGGCGCGAACCCAAGAGCCGCAAGTGTAGTCCTCAGTGTGTCGTGCCACTCACGCGGAGCCTGGCGGAGACCGTAGACCGGCCGCTGAAGCCTCCACTGGGTACCAGGAGGAAACGACCCAGTGAAGCCAGGTGGGCGGCGCAGCCAGATCTCCTCGTGCAGGCTGCCCTGCAAGAAAGCAGTGCTGAAGTCAAGTGAGTGAAGCTCGTAGTCGCGGTGAGCGGCTATGTGCAGCAGCACCCGAAGAGTGGTCATCTTCGGGGTGGGGGAGAAGGTCTGGAAGAAGTCAACTCCCTCTCGCTGACTGAAGCCTCGAGCCACGTAACGCGCCTTGAAGACAGGCGGAGAACCCGGCGGCCGCTTCACCCTGAAAATCCACATGCCACTGACGATGTTCGCCCCAGGAGGGGGAACCTCGTCGACGTAGGTGCGTGTGGACTTCCAGGAAGCCATCTCGGCGTCCATGGCTGTCTGCCACTGAGAGGAGTAGGGACCCGCCATCGCCTCAGCGTAAGTGCGCGGGGTCGGGATGTCTGGTGCATCCGGGTCTCCCTTAGGGGCAACTAGCAAGGACACGAGACGGGGCAAAGCAGCCGCAAGAGAGTCAAAGTCCTCCTGCCTGTCCTCAAGGACGTCCGTGCCAAGAGCACACTCACCCCCGACGGACGGAGGACAGACAGACGCAGACTCAGACACAGCAACAAGGCTAGCAGCGTAGTCTAGACGACAGGCAGCAGCAAAGTCAACCAACTCAGCGACCAGAGCAGACGCAGCCGAGGACTCAAAGGCAGGGTCAGTGACAACAGTAGCAAGGAGACGCGTGACAGTAGGGTGCTCAGCACGATACCGGTCAGACTCAGGGTCCGGACCGTCAGGCAAAGAGGACGCAGGAGGAGACGGTAGAGGGACACGCTGAGGAGCAGTAGAGGGACGCAGAGTCATGTAGTGAGTGCCTGGGACAGGAGGAGGACGCTCACGACGGACACGACTACCAGTGCGAGCAGGACGAACAGGCGACGCAGGACGAGACTCAGGCTCACGACGCTCTGTAAGACCTCCTGTGGGACCAGTGTAAGGAGAGGGAGCAGGGAGAGGCGAGGTAGGCTGTAACTGTGACTGCGGCAGGACAGGCGGGGGACACTCTACGGAGGGAGGAGGACAAAGAGGAGGAGCCTGCCCAAGAACCTGCTGAAGGAGCGGTACGAAGTACGGTCGCGGCCGCGCAGCGTCTCCAGAAGCAGAGGAGACTCCAGCGGCCGGGTCCTCAGTACCAGTAGGAGCGCCAGCGTCCGGGTCCACAG